GTTTGCCAGTTATTCTTATACGATTGAATACTGGAAGGGCGGCTTGATTGGCAACGCAGGTGGGCTATCTAGGTTACCGTAGCCGTAGGTGCGTACTGAGGAAGCTATGAACTACTTTTCGTCCTCGCCATGGTGTTCTATTGGCTAAGGTACTTGGCTTTGGACCCGCCGGTTCCGAGATCGTATCCCGTCTGTGGCAGCTGCATTTTGGGTGAGTGCGAAAATTCTGTAGGCCCATGTGCTGAGATTAGGGTGCACGTTAAAGAGCCCCGGGTAGTCAAAATTTCCGCAGCCCTTCACTGAAGTGTCTCTTATACTAATATGGTAGTTTTGAACGTTAAACCGCACATATCAATCGAACAATTTTTTGTCCATTATATAGTTACCGCATACGGCTAAAGAAGCAGCGGAAAAGACGTATAAGGAGCTCACAACGGTTCGGGGCATCACATAGCATGGGTTACCGAAGGCGGTTGACAAAGCTCTGGAGCCATATTTTATTAGAAAGTACAAATTCTTATTACAAATGGACTGTCTTCTATGGAATAACCATGTAGGGATCTCAAGGGGATTAAGGCAGAGTCTTGGACATGTTGCATGAACAGCATCCTCGTACTACCAAAAATAAGATGCTTGCTCGCAGAAATATTTCGTGGCCTAAAATTTACGAATATCTTGAGTATTGTGTAAAAAATACTGTGGAATTGTTGACGCGTCTGAGCTTCAATTCCGGCCGCACGATTGCAAAAACGCATGTGGCGCTCCAGCAACTATAAATGCGCACACACGCGTTTTGCGGGAAAAGATGTCAAATCTTTCTGGTCATGGTTGGCTCCCATTCTAAGTGCGTGAAAGTAGGAAATGATCTCCAACGCAACTGCACAGAAAACAGTTGAAGTTTTCTGCTCAGTGTTGACGTGTTATGGTCTGCCAGTTGAAGTGGTGAGAGATAATGATCTCCACTTTGCATGCTCCGTGTACAAGGAATGTCACTGCAAAAATAGAGTTAAGTACTGTTCGGAGGATTCTTATGACACCTATCACATGGCGTGGGCCTACCACCCGAATCCCACCTACCCACCCCACCCGAGAGAACTGGGAAGCTGTCCTGTTCAGCTGCTCTGACCTCCAAGCTCAACAGGCATTGGTGGCTGGAGTCCGAGCCGCCGCGGCCGCTGCAAGGATACCGGACTATAGGTATACCTTCCAGCGTTTGTGAAAGGCGGGCCCTTCAGACTCGCCTTATCCATACCTCTCGCTGTAAATATATTAATAAATGTTTTCCACTACCACCACCTGTTGAACGAGGACGTATTACTCAATTCACACAAAATAAGTACGCAAGTTAACGAGAAGCCGCTTAACCTGACTCCACATGGCCGGGGCGACACCGTAAAAGCTTGGAAAACAATGACTTAGCTCAGCAGCGCACACTCAGCTGCAACTTGTTCACAACTTCCAATGGCAAAAAGTTTAGATTATGCGTGAAGGCTATTTCAGCTGGTATACGACGCGAAATCCACCTATGTTAGCAAAGGCGTCGTGTAAGTTTGCAAAGAAACATAGCGCATTTTTTTCTGCCAGTTGCAGTTAGGGAATCGTAGATACTCCAAAGAGACAATGTGATCGACTGCTTTACTCGTCCCATGACGGTACTACACGACGCTTTGCTTTATAGCTACGGATGATGAAACCGATACCTGTTTGTATTCTGGTATCGTAGAACAAGATTTTCCAGGTGGAGCCTTGCGAGATCGACTAGTAGCATAACTTAGTGAATCTGTTCCTAAGTTAAATTGGCTGCTACTCGGCATTCTAGTCGCATACCTTTCCTGTGGGTTAAGATGGCTCAGGGAGCCTTACATCAACTCAAAGTGATTTTCTGCTTCAAACTTTTATTCATTAAAATTTATAGTAATGTTCTCTGACTACTCACAGTACTCTTGACGTTACATATCAGTATTTCGTCGTCGTACATTGCATTGACACGTTCACCTACCTCACTCGGGCCAGCCAACATATTATTTTTTGCAAGGGTTCGACCATACGCCTACATCAATGCTAAATAACAAAGCTAACACATAAATGTTGCTATGTCTGCATTTAAAACAATTTTTCAACATGATTCAGTGATGACACTTATAACTCATAACTAGCGTATTAGGTTCATTCTATCTTATGCACATGTTTGTCAGCCATAACTGTGGTTGATGGCTACCATTCCGTTTGAACACAGCATTTTTGCACCCCCAGCGAGTATATCACATATAGTGATCTGCTCTCCAAGGCGAAGTTCGAGCGCTCTCTATTTGTTCTGTTCAAGAGTAGATCAAGATAGTCCAATTGGACCTTGTGAACGTCGCCTTTTGAATTTCTTCACTTGTTTGCCCGAAAGCAAAGCAGCTGGCTGGGCGTGTTATAGCCCAGGCCACCCAGACTGCCTTCTAATATATTATCTCTTTCTTTATTGGTAAATAATAACGTTTTGTTTGCTGAAGAGTAGAATATAACTGCAACAAGACGTCTCGAAATAAGCAGCGCATATTACGATTTCAAACATCTGGGACCACTGGCTACTCTACAGGGCTATTAGACATGTAAAAAAAAACTTGAGTGTTAAATGATAATATTACAATGCACTGTTTACGTCCTAAAACAACGTAATGTTAATGAAGAACGCCGAAGTGAAGGGCTCCTGAAACTTCGACCATCTAGTGTTCTGTAACGTGCACGGACAGTGCATGGGTCTAGCATTTCACCTTCATGGAGATGCGACCTCCACACCTGCGTGTGATCATCACAAGTTTCGTGTGAGCAGCCGCTGTAATCATTGATCTGCGATGGCGGACCTGAGAGTTAAATAAAATACCCAAAAAGTTGACATACACAGCATGTTAGAAACTTGTCATTTTATCAAAGGCAAGATAAGCTGAGCTAAGTTTTTGCAATGAGGCACGATAAAGCAGCGAAGAGCTGGGAATGAGCACAAACAAATTAAGCAACTAGACGATGCACCCGCATGTTTTAAATGTACAGAAAACAACAAACTTCTATGCTGAGTTTTGATGCACCGCCTTGCTGCTTTCATTCAAAGAAGGGAATGCGATGAAACCACCGGGACGAAGGAATGGACTCTGTGTATGCGATGAAGCGCTTCAAACGAAATTAAATTAGCAACAGTTTCTTATTCTAAAACATACGAATCGCTCCTGTAAATGTAGAACGACTTGATTTGCAGGGTCAGTTACAGAAAGACTCTTTATAAAGTAGCCAGATAGTGATAACTTACCAGAAGAGGTGGATTGGTGCCTTCGGAAAACGGCTCCTCATCGTTGTAAATTTAGTCATGTGGACGATTGCTCTTGGCATGTTAGTAAAACTGGCGGGACACCATTGATATTTTAATTACGTCGCTGGCTTTGACTACTAACCAACTGCATCGTACGTAGCAGTCACGGTTTCGGAATATTTTAAGAACAGCGTCCACATCATGCTCAACATTACGACATGACAAAGACAGCAGTATACACACCAAACTATTACAACAATGCAATAAGCAAGTAAGTAGCACGTGTACATTGTCGATGGTTAACCAGCAAATGATAGAAACCAGCTCTCGCGTGCGCGAGGGCTGGCGTATGTGTCTGCCATCATCATGTCTGCCCCTGAAAAACTGTTTAAACTTCGCATCACTGCCAGTCCAATCACCTATACCTAAAAAAAAATAATCCAAGTTAAAACACCGAAGCAAGCATGTTGACTGCACCAAGAAGGTCATGTACAAGTTGCCACTATCGTGTGGACGGCCTTACACTGGGCAAACAGGTCGGTCCTTAAGCCACGGTCTGCGTGAGCTTGCGAACAGGTTGGAGAAGGGCAGCGGTGAAAATTGGGCCATTCGTTGCCACTAATGTGGCTGCAAGCCGTTGTACGAACATTGCACGGCTGTTTTTTTTATTAATGTATGGGGGTAATCAGCGAACACGAGTAATTGGAGAGGCAAATGCAACTGGAGGGCAGCAATGGCGCGAGTATGACCTCAGTTTCCCAAACATCGAAGGAAATGGCCTTCTCGGATCTCGGGGACACGGTAGCTGACGTGCGCTGTCACACTGCGCATTTGTGAGATTGGTGTTTTACTTTTGCCATACTGATATGGTATATATTTGACAGCTAATTAGAACAAACACACAGAACAGATACGAAGTCTTTCGAACACAGAAATCAATACATGCACTGCATACTAATTCAAACGAACAAAAATATTTTTGTAATTCGATGTTTAATGACATATGATTCAAAGTACGAATGAATAATATAAAATGATTGAGCATTGTGACCTTCGGCGGTAAGATAAACGTTTATTGTGATTCCGTGTCCTGATAGGCTTTTCGTCAGTCTTTTTTTGAAGATTGTGCGCTGTTGTAAGGCGAATTTTCGCCACCTGTCATCTGCTGCGCAGAGTTTCCTAATATACACTAGAGGGAACTCTGGTGCCAGTGTCTATGGGAACTGCAACGCACGGTGCTTCAGCGAGCGTGGGAATGATGGGTAGTACACTTTTTTGTCTAATCTTCGTACATCTGGCCTTCCACTGGCTCCGTGTGTGTTCATGTGGCTTGGAAGTGTATTATCAAGAAATAAAAATCAAATCATCAAATGATCAGCGGTCGCGCTTCACCACCTTATTTTTTAGGCTAACCATATTTAATCGGGTTACAAAGTTCAAAAGTCTTCGTTCTTTCCTTCAAAACTAAACCATAACCAGCAATAAACTAAGCCGCAAGTACGATTCACCACCCGCAAGAACGAATACTGAGCAAATTTGTGTACTACCCATCATTCCCATCTCTCATAATCATTGGGTGGTTTTGGGATGTTAAACCCCACAAATAATAAAACCCATCATTCCCATGGTCTCTGAACGATCGCAGTGCCAGAGTCCCCTCTAGGTAGTTTTAGGAAACACTGTGATCTGTTGCACTTTATTGCAATATTCCTTAGCAAAGTTTGAGATCAGACGAGACGGCAGTCCTTTGCTCGCACAAAAGCTTCTTCCGGCACGAACGTTTGCAGCGCTTCTTCTTTGGTGCCCCCTTGTGGTAGAATCTGTAAACGCAGTAAGATGTCACTGTTACTTTGTGACGGCGGTTGCTCCAACACTGCTTGAACTGCCAGATCATATCTCTAGCTCGAGAGCTTCTGTTAATCTAACTAGCCATCAAGACGTTGTTTTCCACGACAACTATGCAACTATTCATCACATGAGAATCCTGACTTTTGTGCAAGCAAACATCTTCTCTAATTTTATGTCTGAAGCGTCACTCTTAATGCTTAGAGAGTGTCATGGGGAAAACGATGGCATAGGCCACGCCTCCTCCCAATGAGTTGCCACTCCGGGATTAGAGTGACTACGCAATCGTTTAACACTTTCACAACCCCGAAACGGGATTGTAACAATGATCAGAGGAATGAAATAAGCGCCTTTTGCACGGAATAGACCGAGAATGGTATTGCGTCTTTTTTTTCAAAAACTAAAGCAAGTTTTTGTCTACGCACTGTTTTCCAAACTTGAAACATTAGTAAGTCTGAATCTCGAATTCAACAATAAAGTTTCGTTTTTAAAACAGCTTGGCTGATCACATGCACGGTACATTTCTAAGCTACGCACTTGGAACAATTCTGTCCTTATATAGACTGCGTTGCTCCGAAGCACCTGTTTCGAATAGCTCGTGTTCTTGAAACGCCGCACATATATATAGTTACGTACACAGCAATTGTTTTACCTCTCTTTTTGTTCTGTATTTTGGAAGCAAGCATTGAAGCAGATGTCCATTCATATTTCGGGTTCTAAGAACTAAATGCGCCCATCTACCACATAACATTTCGTTCCGAAATTTCGGTGAATAAAACCAAAAGAAGGTTTTTTTGCAACTTTAGCCGACCTTTATTGCCGCACATAAAAATCACGAAAAGAGCTGAGCACATTTTATGACGTTCTGATTGCCAGAGAACTAGTGACCGAATGCCGGGTGTGTTGTTGTTCTTCTATAACATATTTGTTCGAGGTGTTGATAATAAAATAAAGGTATGTGGTCGCTTCTAAATTCCGAAAGCTGGTAGGGACCATTGCTGCATGAAGTATCCCGCTAGACGAGGCATTTCTGAGTCTCGAGCTGAGAGGTGGTCAGCCCGCACTATTATTGCTCCGGATTGGGGTCACTCCATTATTACCGTTTTCCTGTTTCTTTGCATTTTTCTCTTGTTTGCTACGACTCTGCATAAACCGAAGTTTACATCGCCAATCACACAGGGCACTGGGGAAAAGCATATTTCGATCGGTACACCATTAGTTGCTACTACTGTAACATCTCCCTCAAATTAGTCGAATAGGCTGAGTGCATGTTTTATATATATATAATTCGAAGGCCACGACGCATTCTGTAGGTACACCTTTAGAATGACAGAATCAAAAGCAAGCGGGGTGTAAAAGTGGGAACAATTTGCCAATTTGTAAAAAAGAAATCGACGCATAGGTTACGGTACAAAAAATTCCTTATCCCAGCAGATACTGAATGGAGATACGAACACCTGCGTGTTTGTTCCCAATGATTCCCCCCCCCCCCCAAGGAAGTAGCGAATATTCTATGCACAGTCTTATCTATGTCTAGCGAGCAGTTTATATTACCTGATATACATAAATTGGGACCCTCATAGCCAAGTAAACATTAAAACACTTGAAATGATTCAAAGAAAAGCAATCCGATTTGTATATAATCGTTACAGTGCTCTTACGTCACCCAGTGAACTGTTAAAAAAAGCTGACTTGGATACATTGCAGGCAAGACGGCAACACGATCGATTAAAGTACATGTTTCTGCTTTACCACGACAAGCTACGCATAGACAAGCACGCGTACATAAAAACGGTTCACCGCCGATCAACTCGTTCCGAGCATCCAAAAAAACTGAAGGAATATTCCTGTCAAACGAAAGCCTTTAAAAACTCATTTTTTCCACGCACTGTCACTCAATGGAATGCTCTTTCTGCCGATGTGGTGAACTGCGAGACCGTTCAGTCGTTCGTGGAAAAACTTAAACACCAGCAACCCACTTTACTTTGATCTTTCTTTGCGCTTCGCCCTCTATTATTCCACCGCGCATCCTGAACAGGCTTCCATTTATGTTCCACTTTCTATCACTTTTCTCATATCAATGCGTTGTATTTTTGAAATGTTGCCGATTTTTGAACTGTTATATGATGTTTGTTTCTTAGTTCTGAGTGTACAGATGTTTGTCATCATAGTTTTTTTTGTACGTGTACGCGTAAACCACTACAAGTGTGTAAGTACTAGCGTTTTACTTTGATGCACTAGTTCTTGATGATGTAGCTCTACGTGACGTGTTTCCTTTACTGTTGTATCTTCATATGTTTCCTTTTTTGTATCACCCACCCCTGCCTAAGGCCTCATGTGTGAGGCTGGCAGTACTTCTGAAATAAATAAATAAATAAATTAAATTTGCTACAAAGTTGCCATTGCAGACCTGCGCACAGACGAACAGAGAAAGTTATGCTCACTCCAGCCATGCTTGCTTGGCGCGCTGACAATCGTCAATACTTACAATCACTGCAGCTCAGGGCACCGTATTTGATGCGAAGGCCCAGGGTACGCGAACGGTGCACTGTTACAACTAATTCCAGCTAATTCGGAGGGTTATGTTCTCTATTAAACGAATCTTAGTCCTCTCCATACTACCGACCACTCTGAATGCATGGCAACACTGCTTAGTTTTCTTGAACACTACTTTTGTCAGCATCAAAACAGGCTATGTCGTCATTACTACGTTTATCCCCAAGAAGTATTAAAACATCAAAATTCGTTCAAACATAGCGATCATGCAAATACTAAATTTAGCGACAAAATTGCCCCTATGGGAATTGACAAGGTGGTTGTACACCGTGAGATATCTATAACAAAGCTACTATCCCTTGATCTTGGTAGTGCGTTTTGTGTAACCTTGCAGCTCTTAATGCATCTGATCAGCTTCGTGGAGCGCTCATTTTAACTCAATAGAACTATCAAGATGTCTTTGCCACGTTGAGAAATGACAGGAATGGTATTGAAGTACCCGGCAATTGCCGAAGGGTGAATGGGCAAAGTTGTTTTTTATTCCGAGGAATCGAAAAGAATTGACTTGCGCCAAATTCTGATTTCCCGGAATGGAACGAGAATGGAATGGAGGCGCCTGTACCGCTACACTTCCTTCTACCGCATGTTGCGACCAGGTGCCTTGGAAAGTGCCTGGGCACGTCACTGCATAGTAACGTCACAAAACATTAATAGCTAATCCAAGGTCGCTGCGAGAGTTAGGTGTGTTCAAAAAAGAATGCTGTCAGGCGCTGAGCATTGTGCCAAAAAAAGGAAAAGAGAATATGCGATGGAGGACATCGTAGTCATGGCTGACGTGTCAAGTATTGGGTCCACTTTTTTTTCGTTTTCCCGAGCTCACATCTTCTATAATGACGGGGTATTACTAGGGGCCGGCACAATAGGTAACGCCAGGGCCAAAGTATTCGAGATCAAGAGACACTTCACGACTCTACAGTTAACCTTCGGCCACACCAAACTTAATGCGACTCTATAGTTACGGGAGGGTCTCATGCATCGTGGTATTGCAGAACAGGCAGCGTAGCACACGTGAACGGCGGTTCAGGCAGGTTGGTTTTCTAGGTATGACACCCTACTACTTCTGGATGCTTCCTAAACTCATAACGGTTTTTGGAATGTAAAACTCCGGAATTATTAGTGAGTTTACCGTCAACGTACCTATAAAACTTGTCGAAAAGTTTGTCGTCGTGTTCCATCTTCCTGAGCACAGCGTCCCATTGTTGCGGTTGAAGACTGGTCATGTTGTACGCATTACGCGCGCTGTACTCAAGCTCCCACTTTGGTGGCAAATCAGGACGCGCATTGGCCGTAGTCAAGTTCAGCAGGTACGTGTCGTGGTCGAGGAGTGACTGCAGGGAAAACGATGTGTTCAGTAAAACAATTGGAAGAAACTGAACTCGTTGAACACCCACACAAAAAAAAACCTAGTCAACGTGCTTTCGCGAAAGCCTCGTCCAAATACTCATCGCACATCACACTATCGCTACGAGCTAAGTAAATACCATCACAAAATAACTCTCTAATGATGAGCTGTATAATCCGAAATAAGAAACAAACATGGACGTGCTCGTTTATAATGGTGCTGTAGAGGCACATGAACGGAAACACCATTCCCATACTTCTTCATTTGAAACGTTGTAGCTAGCTATATGCACGTTTGTTGCGGTAGTAGGGACAGATGCGTCAGTCTAAGCGTTAGAAAATATTTGAGAAGAGAAAAAAGTCGAAAATAGAAAACAGCGTTCATTTCCAATTTACTCTCAAGCACCTTGTTATGATCATCGCCTGCCCCAGGTGAAAGTCAGCGTTCTTGCCCGCGTCCCAATTTTTTTCCTCCTATATTTACGGACTTCAACTGCCAACACCACAACTAATAAAATATCATACTTTATTTAAGACAATCAGTATACATGGTTGCTTAGGAGATTGGCGTAAAGGCAAAGAAAGCCTGACAAAGTGTCAATCCCCTGTATACACTCATAAGTAAGCGGTTATGCATGGCAAAACAAAAATGAATGTAGATAATAGAATTCAAATATTATAGGTTCTTTCATGAATTAAGCCAATAGACGCAAAAATATGTACATGACTGTAATTTGCTCACAAAGAATGATGAGAAACCACTTACGCGCAAAAATTGCTACCAAAATAAAAAATAAATAAAAATGCAGACATATGCCGCATATGCAAGTAACACAAGGTAGGAAGATTATTCGAAGGAGGTGTGAAGATATGAATGAAGTACCTTTATTAAATTAACGTTTTCATAGTGGGGTGCTCATCAAGGAAGTGGGGAATTTTTTAAGTTAGCTTTTAAGTACCGAAGTTAATATGAAGTGTATCTTTCTTGAAGCTCATGTGTGGTAAATTATGGCTGCTTTACTCTCATTTGGTTAGATATAACTTCAAGAAATATGATCGTTGCTAGATTTTATAACGAATAATATTAACGGCTAGCATTTCATGCTTTTTTTAAAAAAGGGGGCCGAGTACGAACGGAAGGGCTAGAGTTAAAATAATCGCAGAGCTCGCTTTCTTTAATATGTATATTTAGCTGAGGTTTGTTTTTGTTGTTCCCCATATCAGAAAGCAGTAGCGAAGGCGTGAATGCGTTTTTGCGTAATAAATGTCTTTTTAATCAGACCGTTAATAAGTGGCGTAACGTGCAGAGTATGCCGACTGCTCGTGAGATGTTTTTTATTTAATTTACATATATATATATATATATATATATATATATATATATATATATATATATATATATATATATATATATATATATATATATATATACACACGTACCAGTCTAAATATTCAGGGAAAAAATATCGAGGAATCCGAGAGACGTAACCCGATCAATAGGCTGTCCCTGAATGGAATGAATTGAAAAAACTTTATTTCAGTCCTGCAGGACGCGCTTAGCGCGTAGCGGGCGTCTCCCACGTAGGGACCGACAGGGAGTACCTGGCGGCCGCTTCGTGGGCCTGCTGGACGGCCCATTGCTGGTCGGCGAGAAATGAGCTCCTGAGAGACCTCTCCCACTTAGTTAATAATATTTTTGTTAGTGTATGCTTTGTAAAGAATAAATTTGTTTTTTTAGCATACAGATCCAACTTGTTTACATTAAGCTATGTAGATAGGTTGTAACCACAGATTCGCTATACATTTAGGTTCGTCGATATCTCGGCCAGAAAAAAATACATTCGCATCGTTGGCGTACAAAATATTGTCCGGTGTTAGGGGTATGTTTACTATGTCGCTTATGCAAGAGTGGACCAAGCATTGTCTCTTGTGGCACTCCGTATGTAATTTTACCGAATTCACATTTCGCACTGACAACGTTGGTGTATTACACACAGATTTCTTTTTTACAGTGTCTTTTCACAACCTCTGACACCGTATCTAGATAGTTTAAGTAGTAAAAATTCATGTTTAACGGAATCAAATCCTATTTTAATGTCAAGAAAGAGCCCTACCGAGAGTAACTTTTATTCTATATTCTCCACTATACAGTGTCCCCCACATAACTTGAGCCAAGAATTTAATATTTAAAGGCCCTTAGGAGGCAAATCGCACCAAACGCAAACTACTCGCAATAGCCTGTTCTCTCATACTAAATAATAATAATTCTTATTTACCTCATTTTCCTAATTATGGGCTGGAAATTTGAAATATGAACACTTAGTTGTGGAGAACTTCCAGAAACCACCAACTAAATTGTTTCGTGTAGGATACGTCTCGCGCCGTTACTTTTTCCACGTTGTAAAGAAAGCCCGCAAAACGTAAAAAGAAGACCGCGAGCGCACTGCTATAGTGCTGCTATAGGCTTTTTTTACAACGCGTAAAAAATAACAGCGCTAGACGTATGGTACAGAAAACAATTTTGTCGGTGATTTCTGAAAGTGCTCTACATCTCAGTTCTCACAGTCTGGGTTTCCAGCCATAATTAAAAAATGGGTAATTGAAAATTAATAATAATTAGTATTGAAAGAAATAAAAAGTAGCCTGAGCACATACAGGCTAGTGGGAGTAGTACGCGTTTGGTTCTATTCGCCATTGAAGTGTCTTTCATTTTCAAATTCTTGGCTCAAGTTATGTGGGACACCCTGTATATAATTTTTAATATCGAGTAAGGTCATTTTCTTGGATTTCTTTTCCTTTGAAAACCATATTGCTTTTTAAGGATAATGTACTTTTGCTAAAGAAAGTGAGTAAGTATAAAGTTTATTGCTTCTTCTATAAGCTTAGAAAACATAGGTAAAATAACGATGAGACTTTACTTATCGAGATTGTTTTTATCACCCCCTTGATAAATAACTGATACCCTTGCGATTTTTAGTTCATCGGGAAACGTTCCAGGGCTTCAAATATGATTACACATGTGCAATAGAGGTAAGCAGATAACCTAAGCGACTGCATCAAGAGGCACTGCCTTTAATTCAGCTACACCACAGGCATTGTTGTTTGTAAATATTTTAACAAGACACATATATTTTGCACTGTAGTAAACAACATGAAAACTGTCGACTCTGGGCTGTAGACTCAAGATGTGCAGCTGATATCATTGGTCGGTGAAGCCATGTGAACACCTGCCTTTAAGAAAAATGCTTATTAAATCTGTTTGCCTGCGAATTACCCGAATATGGCAAGCCCTCCAATATTATTGTTGATATCGCTTCTCTTTCTTTCTTGTTCCGTAGTTCATTAATGCAATTCCACACTTTTCAAGAATCATTAAAAATAGTAGCAAACCTATTTACGAGCGGGTTTATTATAAGCTATCAATATTTTTTTTATTTTTATAGTCAGCTAAGAGATTAAGGTTCTTTCTTTTTATAAGCAATGCAATTAATTTATCACGGGCCCCTTTTCTGAATAAAGAGGCATCAAGACATGATTTTCGAAATCTTTTACGCTTATTAAGCTCTTCTTAGGAAATTATAGTGTAATGTATAATGTTTCAATACATAACTCATACGACAGGGAAGGATCAGTCATCGTTCAGGCAGACTCCCGTCTAGTTCCTTCAACCAAATGTTTTAAATAAGCAACCGTTCCTGCAAGGATGTTTCCAAACAGAATGGACGGCTCTTTGCGTTCGTTGGGCTCAGTCATGTAGAGCGCAAAAAAGGTGGAAAATGATCACGTATGTCTGAAATATAATACTCCGGCGTCATATTGACCCATTTTATTGTCTGTAAAACAAACATTTAGCAAAGTTTCGGATTTGCTTGTTATTCTTGAGGGTATATGCATGATACTTCGACAACCAAAAGAAAGAAAAAAACATCAAATAACTTTCGCGTAGATGGCTCCATAGAGAGGAACTTAATGTTGAAGAATCTACTGATTATTGTACGTAAACCAATGTATGAACAGTGCTCTAAAATACGCTAAAGAAATTTGATAAGTGGCGCTACAGCACCGCTTCAAGGATCAACAGAAAAACCAGCATCGTATTCGGGCATTTCACAAGCACATTTTTGTAGTGAACATTTGTGAATGAGTATTCTGGAATAACTTCATAAACAAAGTGGATTTTAAAGTACACATTAACGCCACCTCCTCTTTTGTTAGGTCTTGACACTTATATACAGTTGTATCCTCGAAAGCTTACAACTGGGAATTTATTACAAAACCACGTTTCGGTGAATCCTAAGACGTCCAATTCATTATCTCAGTTATCTAAAAAAAGGTTAACAAAATCTTGTTTGCTTCTTGAACTTCGTACATTACGGTGAAGCAAAGAAAATTGCTTGGTCCCAAGTAAGGCCTTGAGACTCCCAAATGAATCAGCATCATGACAGCATGTTTTATCGTGTGCAGCCATATGCTTACATGGCACGAGAAAAAAAATAGTGACATTCTTAGAGCTACCTTATGAGATCGAGGTTACTGGCTGTCTTAATTCACATTACTCTGTCGCATTAGGCAATAAACCAATGTGCAGGCTAGCCCCGCCACGGTGGTCTAGTGGCTAAGGTACTCGGCTGCTGACCCGCAGGTCGCGAGATCAAATCCCGGCTGTTGCGGCTGCATTTCCGATGGAGGCGGAAATGTTGTAGGCCCATGTACTCAGATATGGGTGCACGTTAAAAAACCCCAGGTGGTCAAAATTTCCGGAGCCCTCCACTACGGCGTCTCTCATAATCAAATAGTGGTTTTGGGACGTTAAGCCCCACAAATCAATCAATCGATGTGCAGGCTAAGATTTTTTTCTTTTTTCAATACGGACGAACACCGCAGTCATAATGCTGTATTTTTTTTATATGTACGTTCATGAACTAGGGTGTTTATACAGAGACATGGCTTATTATTTTAACGTAAAAGTTTTCGAAGTTGTATAAGCGCTTTCTGTGAATAGAAGCATGACCACATTTACGACGAAGTTGCATGTGACTTGCATTATAAAGGTTACATTGTAGAGTGGCCACTCTGGTGAGGTGTTAGTTTCAGTTGCACTCACCAGACCGAGAAAAATGACCGCGAGGCAACGTCAGAGAAACCCGTATGAATTTTCGTACAGGTGTGAGCTCGTGGGAATCAAGCGCTCCCTCTCCTTTTGCACCTCGTTCCCCGACATGCGCGTGTGCAGGCCCCACGTGGCTGAAGCGTTGGGAACCGTTGTAAATTCATGACATGAATACCGTGGCTACGCCGCCACGCCTTTTAAAGACAATAGTCTTTCGTGGGGACCTTCGACGTGAAAATTGTCTGTCTGTCTGTCTGTCTGTCTGTCTGTCTGTCCGTCCGTCCGTCCGTCCGTCCGTCCGTCCGTCCGTCCGTCCGTCCGTCTGTCTGTCTGTCTGTCCGTCCGTCCGTCCGTCTGTCTGTCTGTCTGTCTGTCTGTCTGTCTGTCTGTCTGTCTGTCTGTCCGTCTGTCTGTCTGTCTGTCTGTCTGTCTGTCTGTCTGTCTGTCTGTCTGTCTGTCTGTCTGTCTGTCCACTCTCAACAGCATCGGGTATTTGAAACAGCCGACCCTATTTGCAGCGCCCACCTGTGTTGCTCGAGATTCAGCGTTCATACTTGAGCAAAAGTCGATTAAAAATCAATCATTGCGCGTGCCTGGGGCATCATAACAACACGTATATATTCTGCATATGCACCTTTTACTAGAAAAGACATACTTAAGTAATTTTAAGGACCGTAGTGCTTATCACGCTGCGCTGATCATCCAACGCTTGTACGGAAAGGCGAGTGTTTTCAACGCTTTGCTAAAACGAGACGGTGGTGGCACCTATCCGTCGCCTTACGTTCTACACCTTATCACCTCTGAGGTGGGCGCACACACCCGTCTCAGAGCCACGCGCTTTGTTTTTGAAAAAAACTGTCAGATGGCACTCATGTCTCACGTGTGACGTGAGTTCATGCGCTCGTTCGCCTCCACTGCGCGCTCGAGGCACTCTAACGCAGTGCCTCCAGAATACAATTCACCGATTTTCTTGCACAGAACATCCAATAAATGTTTTGTTCACTCTCTCCACACGCAAGACAATCGTATTTTGACGACATTTGCAGATTAAATGCAGATACGGGGCCAATTTTTTTGCAGGCTGCAAGCTATGCGTTGTTCTTCCCTGCACGGAAACACCTGTCCTAACATGTCCAGACAACGCTCGCCACACGTTAGGTTAGTGCGGTATTCTAGGCACAGTAATGTTAGCGCATGACACGGCACTCAACCAGTCTTCACTGGCCGCCTTCTCCCGTGAGCTTGCTGCCGTGTGGCGCTGGCTCACCACCGCAGATGTTCACACGCCTGCAACAAGTCATGTTTTGCCACTGCGAGTGACTTATCTCTCGCGCGCTTCGGTTGTTCCCCTCCGTGTGAGAGCTCGGAATTGATCCAGTACACCTCACGAGAGTGTACTCAATCGGTATTGTGGAGTTGCCCCTATGGCTCGCTATCCTGTGATAGTTATAAAACCGATAAGCGTACGAACACGGGAACAAGAAGGCGACACAGGGAGTGTGGTGTGTTCCGTCTTGTTCCCGTGTTCGCGCGCTTACCAGTTCCAAAATATCGTTGTACCAACTAGTTCGGACCCAGCCCCTGATCCCGTCATTGTCGCACTGTGCTGCATATTGGGTAAATGAACCCGTGTTTTTTGACGACCTGCATCGAGTGCCTTCACTGCACCATGTCGGAGCTAGAGTCGACGAACTTGAGCGCGGCGTCATTGTGAGGCTCGGCCGTGGAGAAGGTCACGTCCCTTGCCAATCACCTCGCGGGGTAAGCTTTAGGGAAACCAATCACCACAAGCTAGAAAAAAAGCTCAATGGTAAATCATCCAATACACGTACCCAGGAAGCTCCAGGGTAACCGCCGTCCATAGTGAAAACTCGGAATGCTGGGTGTCCAGAGGTGTACGTTGTCAGGCTCGGTCCGAGAAAAGCCACCCCGAGCGCTCGCTTGGTGTCCGTGGAGTCGTAGGCCACCTCAAGCTCATCATTGTGCGTGTGTCCAAAAAACTGGCCACGGACTGTAGATTCATACCTGCGAAAAATAATTTAAATTATTGGAGTAGCCTGTCCATTGTTTATGAAATGGTGTCCGCAGTTAAGCTGAGCGTTTGAACTACTTCAAAAGGTACAGATAAGCGGCGTTTTGATAGGTTGCTTGTTTTCGTTTTCTAGAAAGACGATGAATCAGAGGCAGCCACCACGATACGCATTAGCCGCAGGTTAATGCCGGCACTTCGTGTTGCCCAACGTCTTTTCAACACACATGTATGTGAATACTCTGAAGTCCTGCGAGAGGAAAAATGTCGACGAAGTACACTAGCAGAATTTCGGTTTGAGCTAATTGGTGAAGATTCCTAATTTAAAAAATAACCACGAAATGCAAAACTATTGCACGTGGACATAAAGGAACACCTGCTACCATGCTGTTCATTGGATTCCTTTGTGTCTGAGCTTTCGTGTTTGCTGTAAGAGCACCTGAGTTCTTTCACCATATCCCCCCCCCGCTCCCTTACATAGTAGTAGTCAGCTTTTTGATAACAATGTACGGTTAATAATAAAACTACGGCCTATATCATTCATTGTTTGTGAATTTTTCTTTCGGTGAGCAGCTAGCTGTTCAGTGAGAAAATTAATGCTACTCTTCCATGGTCAAAATATAGATACGACATTGTTGACAGATACTCAGGCAAGAAAACTGCGATTTCGTTCGAGTGAACATATAAAGCTTGAGAATTGACAAACGATGATACCAAAGAAAATCTTTCCTTTGCACTATTGCCTGATACCTTTTATTATTATTGTGTGTAACAAAAAATGGGCCCTTGAACCTAAACTTCTTTCCATCTGATAAAGCTTGCTCATCACGCCACTGACATGATAGTGCTCCGGGCCACGCCTGCGTGGCGAAAAGACGGACTCACGCCCACTTAGGTAGAAGCAAAACGTGCAAAGCTCAGTACCCACAAAACATGGGCAAGTGTAATGGGAAACATTGCGTTGAATATACTAGCGAGTGGCCGCTAAGAACTCTGGGGTAAGCTCTGTGTGCACTTGGGCTCCACGGCCCCTTTATAAGTGTTTCGTGCTTGAACTCGTAATTATAGTTTCGGAATCACACCTCCAGAATTATTCAGGAGTCGACAGCCACAGTGTGCATACTAGTCATAGAAATGAATATCTCTGCTTATTTCCGCCTAGCTGCACATGATCCTGTTGAAAATGCCAGTGCATGACTGAATAGGTATCGCGTAAGATGCGATTGCAAAAGAAAAGCAGGTGAATAATACTCTAGGTCTCGCAATCTGATATTGCGAATTTACAGCAATGTTTTTACAACTGCTGAACACTTCATCGGGAGTGCTCTTGCTTGCCCCACTGCGGTGGTTTAGTGGCTAAGGTACTCGGCTGCTGACCCACAGGTCGCGGGATTGAATCCCGGCTGTGGCGGTTGCATTTTCGATGGAGGCGGAAATGTTGTAGGCCCGTGTGCTCAGATTTGGGTTCATGTTAAAGAACCTATGGTGGTCAAAATTTCCGGAGACCTCCGGTCGCCCAAGGGCACCAAACATATACCTTACCTCGTCAGAAAAGGGTGCATTAACGTTTCGCCAACGCTGTGGCATATTACGTACGTATAATCAGGGTTTTGGACTTACAGATCACCCGGATCATATTCATTGAGTATTCTGTGACTTTCGTCAACAAACGCCCTTGTAACGTTGTTGCCTCAAAAGCAACATTAGTCTATTACGACTCTGAACCAAGTTTTGCTCAACTGAGTTTCTCGGCGCAAAGCTTTGTCAACAAGATTCACGCACTAAGACTTGCGAAATTTTCACTTGGAAAACGGTATGTGTCATTTCTAGTATTTCTCTGGTGTAGCACTAAAAACTTGTCACGTAGCTGATTTACCTTTCCAGGATGCGATGGTAGTTCTCACTCCATACGTGCAGGCAGTCAGAGCCACCAGGAGGAATGTGCGCGATGATGTGAACCTGCGCGATACCGTAAGAGGTATCAGGATGTTACGTCGTCACAAAAACAATAGACGCTGAATGCTCATCTTCCGGAAAAATGGAGCATTATTGAAGCGCGAGTCCTCAGTGCCAGTGGCACTTGCAACGCTCTGGCAAAACGGGACAAAGAAAAGACGAAAAATTTCAAGCGCAATCATGACGGTAAACAAGAATATTTTGTCTTTTTTCGGTGGTCAACCAACTTTCCTGGCGTTACAGACTTTACTCCAGCACACAGGTGCGTTCCCGTTGGAGTATATGGTGGTCCTGGTTGCCGGTAATTTAAACAGGAACTCAAGCTTAGGTGTATTTTTCTTCAGTGGTATCTGAGTGCTGCTTGCAATATAGGGTCCTTTTTTTATCAGCCACACTGTCAGTATACTCGAATCAACCCCACCGCGATAGTCTACAGTTGGCTACGGCACTCGACTGCTGACCCAAAAGTCACTTGATCGAAACCCGACCATGGTGGCTGCATATTCGATGGAGGCGGAAATGTTTTAGGCACGTGTACGTAGATTCAGGTACACATTAAACAACCCCAGATAGTTAACATATCCGGAGCCCTCTATACAGCGTCTCTCATAATCGCATAGTAGTATTTAGACGTTATAACCCTAGATATTATTAATAATCTTAGTGTCCTCGAATCGCAGCGTACATACCATAGTATGTGAAAATTGCAGAGCTGAATCATCATGCTCACTCACTTAGGGCAAACAGATTTGACGTTTAAACAGTCGTGGCAACGTTGAGAGCAAATATGCATAGACAGAACCACGTCGTTGTTCCATTTTCATTTTTTTCATCCACTGAGCGGCTAATTTCCTTTCGGAGTCGACCAAAGGGGACGAGATGGGGGAGTGCTTCGGTAACATTCTGTTCCCCTTAACGTAGATCCTTGCGTACGGCAATGCGAATTATTGTTCAAGAACATATTTCTTTTGTTTCGTGGTTACAAACTGATCCATGTTGTAACTGCGCGAAAAACGGACGGGAACACTAAAGGAGAGAAAATGAAAGACAAGCGCAGACTATCAACTGAAGCGTCATTGCAAGTGGCCATACAAGATAAAGACTTGAGCTATATTGGTTTTGCAATACGGGAGTGATATGCTTGATGTGGTCGAGGTTTTCGGTGATTTGGTCCCTCGTGCCTTCTTTTCTCCTCCCCCCCCCCCCTTCGCCTTCTCTTGCTTTTCATTCTGTCAATTATAAAGCCTCGTTCTTGCAATAAAGCTTCAGTTGATATCTGCGCTTGTCTGTTCTTTTATCTCCTTTGGTGTTTCCGTCCGTTTCTCGCGCAGTTACATTCGAGATCATTAACAACTCGCTCAACTTACCGTTCTTCTGATGCTACCTGTCCTTAAATGCATGGCATCAGTATTTCAGCAGACTGCACTGCTTTGTATCAGCATGACGTACGTTCGAAAAACCGCGCATATTCGGTGAGTAAAAACATTAAAATTTAGGCTTCAGCGATGCTGTTGCCATCCACAACACAGTGCCACACTGACCCTCTGCTTTCTCAATGCACCTGACTTATTGCACTTGTAATACTGATGTCATAACCAAGTAGAAAGCTTTCCTGAATGCCACTTTTGAGCAATTTTTCAATAGCACGCCTATAAACAGCCACGTAAACGTGAAGATAACCGGAATATTTATGGCCTTCGAAACGAAAGGCCATAATTATGAACGTCCTCTTCTCGAACAGTACTTTTAATGGAGCATAGCACAAAACTGAGATTTTTCTCATACTCATTCCTTTTATTTTTGTGTACTCTCTTGATCGTTTCACCTCCACTGGACGCTCGCTGTTTTTAGACGTTCAAGACAATAAGAGCTCTGACTAATAAATTGACAGAACATTGAACTTACACCTACTGAAAATTATCGTATTATCCACCTTTTTTTTCTCACTGTGGATATGAAGCTCTATATTTATATTAGCTTTTGCTTTTGAAAACATAACGTTTCAGCCTCAACATAATTTGTTTGTTTATTTGGTTCCTTGCTTGCTTTTTTTTGTGACACACAGCAATGGTGCAAAAAATTAGAATACCACAAAACTTTGCATTTAGGAGTCGAACGTGATAGTGACATTCTGTTCCTAGTGCGTACTTCATACACTTGGTGCATGAAACCTTTTCGAACTTGCTATGCGCCCACCACGTGGCCTTAAGAGAATAGGCGAGGTAGCATGTGTGTATTTTAAAGTGGTTGACCAGCTGTAAACAACGAAGCCATTATGATAATCACGTGCTCTGACGCCCACTGGCAGTGGGCGCTCGTACCACGCATTATTACTGATATATTTCATGTTGCGTTCTGAAGCATGTATACAGGACGCGTGTGTTTAAAAAAACTCCGAAGCATTTCCCCGAGGGCGAACATGGTTAAGTGCGAATGCACGGGGTGATGCTATGAGGGGTATTTATTAATTCGCACTATTATAATTATTAATCACACTATGGTGCCTTTATGGTGTAATGGTTCCTGGCAATCGCAATTTGATCACACGGGGGAGAACGTCCACTCGCCGTTGACGATTGCGAGCGGCGTCTTGACGCCGGCCTTCATCGCCCTTCTCCGCCTGACGCTTGCGTTGTCGTTCCGCTTCTTGGGCCGCGTTCGTGGCTCGATGCTGACGCCTCATCTCGGCCTCGCGAGCGCGAAGTTCGGCATCCTCTGCACGCTTCGCCCGCTTGTCCTCGGCCTCGCGAGCGCGAAGTTCGGCATCCTCTGCACGCTTCGCCCGCTTGTCCTCGGCCTCGCGAGCGCGCAGTTCGGCATCCGCTGCACGCTTCGCCCGCTTGCACTCGGCCTCGCGAGCACGCAGTTCGGCATCCGCTGCACGCTTCGCCCGCTTGCACTCGGCCTCGCGAGCACGCAGTTCGGCATCCGCTGCACGCTTCGCCCGCTTACGTTCGGTCTCACGAGCCCTTCGCAGCACCGCCTTGTCTTCCAACGTAGGCGAAACCACCGCGGTACCGTCACTTACAACGACGGGTGCAGTGCTGGCATTCGGTTGTACTGCATTCGTTGTTGATGGTAGGGTTGCCTCCGGGACATCCATCGCACGACCCGCTCTCGACGGGAGACTGAGAGAGGAGGCGCGCGCGAGAGAGAGAGGGGTGCACGCGCAGCTGCAGTGAGCGAGGAGAGCGGAGGAGCGAGCGAAGGGGGAGGGGGTATAAGGCGCGTTAGTGACACCGATATCAGCGTCGCGTCCGTGGCTTAGTCGGTAGAGCGTCGCGCTGCGGCCCGCCAAGTCCTCTTTCTTTTAAAGATAGAGAGAATACTACGGACGCTTCCGACGGCGGTGGATGGTTTGGGGTCGCTTATAAAGTGTATTCACACTTGAAAGCATGAAAGCGGCTTTCGCTGCATTTTCAAGCACAGGAAGTTCTTTTCCCTGTACTCACAACCAGACGCGTGGCCGTGTGGTATGACATTCGCTTGCCACACAAACGACCTGGGTTTTGTTCCCACTTGAACCCAAATGACCCTGGTTGGATGCCTTCTCTAACCGAAAGCGTTTTTATTATTTATTTTAGTTCTATTGTTCTCGATTTTTCGGTCATGCGTTGGATGATGAGTTTTCGCTCACAGCCAACGACACCGACGCTGGATTTTCTGCGAGACGAGCTTCTTAACGCTACTGCGTAATATAGGCTATCACAAACTGAAGTCACAAGATGTTGGGTACTTTTTAAAGACATAAAATTTTTACTGTGCAGCTTTCCTTCAAATCTGTCATACACGATATTTACTAGACACGTGAATAGCAAAACAACCTACACGAAGGTCAACAGTCTGATGCACGAAGTGTGTCAATGTTTTTAGGCCAGTATCAGCAATAATTCCTGTTGCCTCGAAACAAACTCTCAGCAAGTCGTTTTTCCCCTTTTCAGCAACGCTTTTCTCCGGAACAAAAGCGTTCGCTGAAAATGTCAATTTCATGCTGTTCATTCAACGCATTCCTTTTAATGCGATAGCAACTATATGGACAGTCTCAGCTGGTTTTTTCCGCTGTCGTCGCCGTGATTCACTTATATGGTATATATATCTATATATATTAATATATATATATATATATATATATATATATATATATATATATATATATATATATATATATATTATATATATATATATATATATATATATGGGATAAGATGAGCTGGCCTCTTCTTTCTGCGGAGCGAAATTCTTCCCTTTCCTGCAGGGGTCGTCTGCGCGCACGCTTACCTCATGAGCGAACAAGAAGGGGGGGGGGGGTGCGCTCATGGTTTCCGCGATAACGTGGCAATGATCAGCGCACAGCTTGTGCCCCCACAGTTGGCGGGAGCTTCTACAGGCTGCGTTCTCAGCACGAAAAAAACTATGCCAAAAGTGTACCTGGGATGGTTATGTTCTCGTACACCAGCGCTTTGTAGAGTTACGCGAGTTTGGATCTAAATGAGTTGACTGCCAGCCTCACTTCATATAACACTCTGATTTGTCGCTATCACATTCATTGCTTCACCTTTTCGTTGAAATTGATTTTGCGCAGTCAACCCTGCTACAAGTGCGGTTGACTGCATGCACACGAGTATACTTAGCCACCGGAAAAGCTTCTTGAGACGCAGCTAGGTATCCAGCGGCTGTTCACGTTTGGTAGGTTCTGCAACCCATTTGTCGTAATTTATTCAAGCCTGATACGCAGGGGAATAATTTGAAACGTGTGGCACTCACAAAACCACATACGTTGCCCGTAATTCTCTTTACTGTGTGTTTCCTTGTTGGGTTCATTTACTGTAGCAGTGCCGCCGGAAACTAGGTTAGATAGCTAGCGCATGCTTACTGCACTTACTGTTGCTCGTAAAGTACTAGTCTTGCTTCGTAAAACATTCGAATATGTTGCTATCACACCCATTGCTTCGCCCTTTTGGCGAAACTGTGACTTATTTGGAATGACACCTGAATATGATTGAATGAAACTTGAAATTTCTACAACTTTACGTAGCCTACCCTAAATTTATCAAGTGAGCAAGGCGTCAAACATCTTAAACAGTTGTTGACATGTTCACGTGTAAAGCATCCTGCATTGAATTCAATGGCATAATAAGCCAGTGCCACGGAATTGCTCTCCTACGTCATGAAACATCTCATAAAACCCATTTGTGGGCTGCAGTTTTGGTTCCTATCACTGCAAAGTTATCACTAGTCCACGGGAATCTCTTTCTGTGTACAACCTAATAAATATGCTACAGTTAAGAACAACAAATAATTTCCCACTTGACTTGATCAGCTTCAGCGCATGTTAGGTTGTTTAGGCTCTATCTAACAAAAACGTCAACAGTTTACCTCTTCCCATTCTTTAGTTCATTCATGGCGAGGATCGCATTTTGGCTGACTTAACGCGTTCAATTAGTACACTAGGATTTATTTGTGAGCTCTATGCCATAGCGGTTTTGGCTCGATGCACCAGCAGCGAGATTCTCGCCTGTACCTGCCCACACCGACTACACTCTTCCACATTCTTCTACAGCGGGCGAAGTGCAGTGTGGGCTGAGACAATCTTGCATCGCTAGTTGGCGGCGTTCCCAAGGTTCATCATTCTGTACTTTCCTGCAGCATTCCGAAATTCTGGCACCATCACGCTCAATAACGTTAGGTCGAGAAGTATAGCAGCCTTCAACGTGCAAGGAGCATGCGTTAGGGGGTGGTGGAATGTGTAGCGAATACTGTTGATGTGCCAAAGAGTGGAGGTCCTGCAGTTCTTATTCATGGATCATTCAGAAATCAGTGCATTGACCTGTCTGGTAACGCAGTCCCAGCAGCCACGCTCGAGCAAAGAAAGGAGGACTTACAAAGCAAGCTTCTTTATACGAATGTGTACATGACGACCAATGCGCACCTTTATGCACCCAACAGCCATGGAAAACGTTTGAAAGGGTGTTTGCCTATTTTCTGCGTCTATATACACTGCTAATATTTAGAACATATACATAATAATAAGATGCAGAAGCAGAACTAGCGAACTTCGCACAGAGGAGAGCATGGTTTCTGCGCAGCCTCAGGCAAAGAGCCCGAGACGAGCAACTGCGAGTTGTCAAGACCACCCATCGAAAGACCTCCACCTGGTTCATATTGATTGATTGATTGATTGATTTGTGGGGTTTAACGTCCCAAAACCACTTCTGATTATGAGAGACGCCGTAGTGGAGGGCTCCGGAAATTTTGACCACCTGGGGTTCTTTAACGTGCACCCAAATCTGAGTACACGGGCCTACAACATTTCCGCCTCCATCGGAAATGCAGGTTCATATTGATCTCTTTCCTTTTCGCTATAGACTCGGGAAAAGAGAACCGTTCGAATATTCGTATATCCATCAGTGAGCACGGCTATCATGTCTAGCTGAAAACTTCGAGGGGAAAAACGAACTAAGCAATTATTTCACAGGCCTTCTTCGGTGTAGTTTGTACGACGCAAATGACATTAAGGCTGACAGTGCGATATTCCGAAGACGTCACATTCGTATTCACCTTCTCGCCTTTGTCTTCCGATTCTTGTAGTTCGTCCACGAGCCATTCGAGCTGCTGCGCCGGATCTGTGGCATTTATCAGGAGCCACCTGCGTTTTCAGAAAATGATGAATGCACGGAAATGCGGAAACAATGCGTAGTGTGGATCTGGAAAAGTTCTTCTCTTACGCGATGCTGAACAAATTCATTCCGCACCACGTCGCACGGCGAGATAAACATACAAGCGCATACAGTCTAGCGCGTCGTGCGCATGGCAGACATGATGCACTACATCCAGGAAATGGCAGCAATCGCCCGCCTTGGTAGCTCAATAACTCGAGTGTTGTGCTGCTTAGATATAAAGGCTGGCTTGATTCCCGGTCACATCTGGTGCGTATTAATCAAAGACAAAATAAAAGAACACCAACGAACTAAGGGCTCATGCTAAAAAAAACACGAATGGTGAAATTGAATTCGAAATTCTCTCTTATGAGAAAGATATTGCTCCTTGCATAATCCACGAGGTTTTGTTAGGTAAAGCCCCATAAATTCTAGATTTTAAAATAATGTCTGCCGGTGTGTGGCGATGCGGGTCAGCCCGAGCGCTCACAAAGGTATTACGTTGACTTATTGACACATTCGTCGGCATAATTACTAGAGCTATACTTCTGCCGTGAAAGATATAAACGCTATGACAAACAATAGAAACGCTAGAGCTACTTGTGAAGATACAAATTATACGTGAAGAACTCCTGTCACTCCTTAAATACAAAGATTGTAATGAAAGTTGTTAAGTACATATAGGATATTACCAAGCGGTAACGACAAAAGGGTGTATATAAAATAATTTCGTTTACTGGAGTCTCATAGCATTTATGCACGACGTCCACTTATACCATCTACTTCGAAACAGCATGTATACAGTGAGTGCCCATAACAGTGTATAAAAGCATGTCGAAGCGGCACAATGCAGCTGCCTTAACTTGAAGAAATAGCAACAAAACGCCACTTGAGTTCGCGGGATCAAAATACAGATGGCAAACATGGAAAGACACACACATCAAAAAGTTATAAAAACAATTATCAGAATGAAATGCTGGCAGAAGCACGACTTCGTTACGATTCTGTCAAAATACATTTGTCGTCACATACCGAGTTTACTAGTTCGTTATGAGCCTGCTGGTAAAAGTAAAGCAATGCTGCGCTCCTACCTACATATTTGAAGCCCATTCACTATCTTCAAAGCAATAGCCGTATCACCTTCGCAGTATTCAAATAATGCGTCAAGCTATCGAGCCCTTCACCCATATATTTCACAAAACGATTCCAAGCATATCGACTAGTACGCATGCCCATATCACACACTTTACCCGTGCCTTCTTTCTTGACTTCGACTAATAATATACTAGCTAATCGTAAAACGACTGAACAAATATCTAATATTCGCCATATCAAATAATTTAACTGCCAATACAAGGTAGGTAAACTTTGATAACGTATCAAAATTGTTATGATGCTTGCTCCGACCTGGGACCCCATACATACATCTCACCCGTTTTTGTTTTCGTCACGCCTGCATCTCAAAAACTCAGAGGTTAAACAAGTTATCCTGTATAGTCTCATTGAACAACATTAGCCCAAACATGGGACTAGATGTTTGCTTCGAAACATGGAGCGTCCAGAATTATGGAATCAACACAGCTTACCAGTTCAAGGTGCTGCAGTAATTCGTATTCACGGAGAGGATCTTCAGTCCTGGGTACGGTCTCGCTGAATAGTAACCAGCCCTGAAATTCACGCGAAATTTAGCATTTGCGTTGTTATTATTCAATTCCAAGCTTTTTTATACACTGCTTTTATAGACACATAGATACAACCCATCAAACATTTATTATTAATAATAATAATAATAATAATAGTAATAATAATAATAATAATAATATCTTCGGTTTTGCGTGCGTCTCAAAATAACTATCTAGTTATGAAGCAGGTCGTGCTGAAGGGCTCCGGGAACTCTAGCCATGTAATGTCATCTAACGTGCATTTACAACGCACAGAACAAAGGCCTCTCACGTTTAGCCCCCATCGAAACGCGAGTGCACTGGCTGGAGCTAAATGCGTGACCGTCGGGTCGGCTAACGAGCCCTGTAATCTTCAAGTAATTTGAGATAACTTCCACGCAGCGGGTCTTTAAAGCAGGATAGCCACAAGAAAACAATTCCTTTCGGATGACCAAAGCCACCCATCTTCGATGAACTAAATCAACACAAGGATTTGTCTGTGGAGCATTAGGGTCCGGGGGTGTTCACTGATGATAGCACGTTTGCTACAAATGGTCTCGAAAGATTAAAGATGTGGCGTCAAGATCACCATCACTAAGTCTTTGTAAGGCTTTGAGTTGTAATGCTCTTGGAAAAGACGCGTGCCTGAATTGGATCACTTAGTCCTGCTGTTGTAAAGCACAAGACAAAATTAAAAAGATAACACGACGAAAACCAAAAGAATAAGCGCTAAAAATTAACGAGCACAAAAAGGCGACCAGACAAAAGACTGTGCTATATGTAAGGTCAACTGGTAGCGCCTCCTTTTTGCGTGTGGCTGCGAAGCAATTTTTTGGAGGCCCTAGGATACCGCGCCAAACTAAGCGCATTTCATCTCGGCTCGCCTTGTCCCGGAAGGTCTCAAGTTTCACCCATCGCCGAAGGGGGGCGAAAAAACTTACCACGTCGCAACTAAAGCAAAATTAGAGTGGCTCTGTTGAAATCTTTCCTTGGGGACGCCGAAACTTCCCCAGAGATGCCGTAGCACCCGGAAGGTCTCAAGTTTCACCCATCGTCGAAGGGGGCGAAAAAAATTACCACGTCGCAACTGAAGCAAAATCAGAGTGGCTCTGTTGAAATCTTTCCTCGGGGACGCCGAAACTTGCCCAGAGATGCCGTAGCAAGCACGAAATTCAAAGTGAAGGTAACCACTATTTTCGCAAAACTATACTGCTCTTTTTTGCACAATTGAACAGTAACGTTTGAATCCCGCGTTGTGCGTGGTATACTTGTGAGCACTTAAATTTGCTGTTTAGTGATCGTGGTACATACTTCACACATTCGACATTATCGACCTACTATGTGACTTCCAATGTGGATTCTCTTATCGTGACGTTGACGGAACGGAAAACCTGCGCCACCTCTGTTTGGCGGGGGCTGCTGACGCGCATATGCGCAGTTAGTTTTCATCCGACGACTGGCGTGGTCCTCGGCGTTCCGTTTTCTTTCTAGCATCATTTTATTCTCCTATGCACGTCTCTGCAGTTGTTGTAGATAGTCGCAGAACTGCTGTAAGAGGCTGCACGAACTGTTCTACAGGCGAATTGATTGGTTGATATGGGGTTTAATGCCCCGAAACCACAGCGTAATTACGAGAGACGCCATAGTGGAGGGCTCTGGAAATTTCGACCACCTGGGGTTCTTTAACCTGCGCCCAAATCTGAGTGCACGGGCTTACAACATTCCCGCCTCCATCGGAAATGCAGCAGCAGCCGGGATTCAATCCCGCGACCCGCGGGTCAGTAGCCGAGTATATACTTAGCAACTAGACCACCGTGGCGGGGCGATATACCGGCGAAGGCATCAATCTGTGCAAGTTCTACGATGATTGCAGGTGGATTGTTTTTGCCAGTGCGCGCATATTTGTTATTTTTTGTCGATGATTTCACTCTGGGGCCTCGTTGCAGCTCTCGGTGTTGTGTATTTGTGTACTGCGTTACATTTGCACCGATCCTACACGTGTTGGAATGCTTACGCTTGTGTTGACTTTCTCTCCAACGTGATTTTCTGGCGCAAAACCCCGCCTCCTTGTGTCCTCAGCTTGACTGCGGTATAAGCAGTAATGAAATAAATAGTGGGAGTGATCAGCCGTGCTCGGCGAAAGCAAAAGCGGAAATTCGAAGCTTTCACTGAAGCACTTTACGCTGATTTTTACGACTGTTCTGCAATTATAGTTCATACAAGCGAGACACGCTTTTCCATTTGTTCGGCCTCTGAATCGTTGGCGTGCTGTTTGCGATCTCTTAATAATGGTTCTTGCACGATAGATTTATTTTTTAATTGAAACATCATTGCTGTTTTGCTTTCAGTAAATAATATTGTTCTCCGTACTCACTCTTGAACTGTTTTTACTTGTGCCATATATGCTTCTCCGTACCACGTACCCTTTGTATGCGCAGGTACTGCGTCCCGAATGGCGTTTCAGCGGCTGCTAGACGTATCTACGCGCTTAAAACAAGCGGGCGAAACATAACGAGACACACCGCAGCCCTATGCGACTTCCGTTCTTTTTGCCCCGCTGCGATGTTCTTTGTAGTGGCTAAAGCACTCGGTTGCTGGCCCGCAGGTCGCGGAATCGCATTCCGGCTGCGGCGGCTGCATTTTCACTGCTATAGGCGAAAATGCTGTAGGCCCGTGTGCTCAGATTTGGGTGCAAGTTAAAGAACCCCAGATGAACAAAATTTCCGGAGCCTTCTAGTACAGCATCTCTCATAATCATATGATTATTTTAGGACGTTAAACGCTACATATCAGTCGCGGTATCTTTCGTTCGCTTCTGTTTAAAAGAAACAGTCATGAAATAAAAATCCAGCCGAGGCACTCCCGTATGCGCATACGCACCCGGCACGAAATAAAAAGAGTGGTCATTTATTTTTTACCTAAATAACAAAACGACAATAAATTTTGTTTTCCATTTCCTGTTTATTCTTTGCCTTTTTTTTGGGTGCCCTCGATATAGTTCAATGCGCTACCACTGCTTATCTTTCAAACTGTGGTCAAGGCTGTAGTTTCCCTCCTCTAAACTGGTTCTTTATTCTTTGCACTCACTTTAGGAGCATTTTATATCAAGATAAATGCTAGTGCAGGTATAGGTTAAGGTACGATGTACTTGTACGCTTCCTAATTTAAAGGTTCCAGTTAACATGCGCAGCTGCATGTGATTCGTATCTTCTTTCGCGAGTCTGGAAACATGTCAATTTTTTTGTAAACATAGTTTTTTCACAGTCCTTTCTTTCTGCATCACAGAGTGAAAATTAAATTTTATTTATTTGATTTCAGTAATCACAACAGAGTTCAGAGTGAATAATTTATCTGTCTAAACTGATTTAATGTTATACATAGGTGTTTCTTTAGGGGCCAAGGACTTCACAGCACCATGAAGAGTAAAAATATTAATCTTGGTCGTACACAGCTGCTCGAAGCGTCTGAAGATGATGTTTACAAAAATACGTGAAGAAACAGCATACCTTAACTTTACAAAGAATTGTAAGACGATCAACATGACTGCCCTTGCTTTTTCTTTTTTTTTCTTTTTGTGCTCATCATACGCACTCTTTCATCAATACGTGGAGCCGACCACCCTGCGTTACCACAGTATTTTTATTGACGCCATTATGTCACACATCTTCCAGCGCTTGCGAACTAATGTGAGGAAACCCAACTTCCTTTGAATAACGTGTGGCGAGGCGTTTCTGCCAGCAGCTCACCTTCGTACGGTGTCGGTGGCCGAGGGAGGCAGCCATCGAGACCACTGATCAGCGAGGGCGTCGAAGATCCAAGAGGCTGACATGTTTCCTTTTTCCTCGGGTGGCGGGAAACTGCGTATGGCGTGCAAAATACGAAACAGTGCCCGCACATTCCCACTCACAACTTTGACTTTATTAGAGCGTTGTTTTTACATCTGCGCGGCACACAAAAAACAGGCCTATTTGTGAAAGGGGGGGGGGAGGATTTTGCACGTTTCACTGGTTTCATACATTCAAATCTGACCGTCCAGTTTTCTTTTACCTTCTTGCGCTTGTGTTAGCGAAGTTGAAACCTTTTACAATTAAAGGAACCAATTAGCTTGACATTGTGTACTACTGTATGCGCCTTGCAATTGGAGGGCCGAATCGCCTTCTCTGAACAAGTTTGCACGGAATAGTGGCATAGTATTCGCACACCTTTGCATTTGTAATAAAACAAGTGTCAGGTATTAGTTCAGCACTTTGCCCTGTGTACTTCTTTTTGCTTGTGTTTCATCTTTCGCGCTACTTCAACTATAAAACTCAACCACTCCGCCCAGGTTTGCATTCCTTTTGCTGTTTTGATGGAACGTGCTTTGAGACCTATGAAACTTACCGAGACTCCACTACGTACAACCAAACGTCAGCTGCTCAGCTGCGTGCGCGAAACATAAAAAGTGAGTGGACGCACAATGAGCGCTATTCAGTGCAATGTACAGCTTAAGAAGGTGTGCTGTATAGTGGGGCCCGCACTGCGAGGAAAGTTTCAGAGAAGATTCACAGAACTATGACTGAGTCCTCCGTCAAAAGAAGAGTCAATATAAGTCAACAATGAACCATGTCCTAACAGGGGTAGTCCATATACATTGGTCTACACAATGAGTAGATTGTTCTTTATATATATGTATATGTATATGTGCGTGTGTGTGTGTGTGTGTGTGTGTGTGTGTGTGTGTGTGTGTGTGTGTGTGTGTGTGTGTGTGTGTGTGTGTGTGTGTGTGTGTGCGTTGCTAATTCGGAGTACGTTCTGACATTTTTTGTATTACTTTTAAATGCCTAATTAGGCATATATTGTTGCCTATTTTTTGAAGCAACGAAGCTGGGCGAGAAATTCAAGCAGAAGGTTGTTGAGCACTTGGCCAAACGTCTGATGAAATGCATTATAACTGTTTATCTATTATAAAGCATTCGTGGTTTTCGGCTTAGTACAGATGCCTACGACATAAAAAGAAAATTGCCATGTGATATGCCCGCTCACGCGCCTTCAACGCTTCCAAACATTCTGCGAGCAAATAATTCTGTACTTAAGCTAAGAGTACTCCCTCGACAGAGCAGTGACTTCGGTAGTGGCAGTGCGACAACGCACAGATTGCCAACGGGAACGCAAGCAATAACCACTGCGTCTGTACATCATCATAAACCATCGCAAGGAAGGCATATTGTTTTTTGTGCTGTCGGGGAGCACAGCAGTCACGGCGCGCACGTACGCGTGAAAGAGGGCATGCCACGCGCTATTGTTGTATTTCGCGGGCATCTGTAGTAAGCTGAAAAAACAGGAATACTTAGTGGACAGAAAGTTGTGAATTGTCTAATCTGATGCTTTGCAAGCTAATTAGCAACTTTCTCATTGAACTTCTCATCCAGATTTGTTAGGAAGTAGGTAACCATACTTGCATAATTATGCATTTAAAAAGAACACAAAAAATGTCGTGACGTACTTAAACAGCAACCTCCGCATGGTCGCGTGCTTATAAAGTGCCCCATGATATTTTAAAGAGAGAGAGAGAGAGAGAAAAGAGAAAAAATGGAGACTCGCGTTAGAAATAGCGTGGACATTCTGTGTATTTCGCGTGCCTTCTATGCAATGTGGAAAAAGTGGCTATACATGTGTCCTATCGTAAAGGAAAGAATTCAATCGGTGGTTTCTCAAAATTCTGCACATGTGTACACTCTAAGCCAAAAATGGCCAAAATGGGAGCAACGGCTGTTTTTACTCCTTCAGACCGACTGTTACTCTCCGAAAAGACCAAGCGGAACAAGATGGCCGACTTGTTTGAGAATGGGGAAGCAACTGTATTCATCTTAAGTTTGTAAGGGAGCAACGGAAGGAGGAACCGCTGTAAATGCTCTCGTCACGCAACGGTTACTCCCCGGCAGGACACCGCACACAAATATGCATGCCGCCTACATTGATATTCATGGGCCAGATTATTGTTTGTTCTGTGTGCCAAACTTCACCAAACCAAAACAGTGATTCATTATTCATTTTAGCTTCCGTAGATAATAAGATAGCAGCGCTGGCTGAACACAGAAGGCCCGAGAATACAGTGCGGCAAATACCTAACACACGCAGCAGCAGAATGGAGAGTTGGCACGTCAAAGCGGACCGAACGCCGAAACACGTGCAAAACAACGATAAAAAAAGCCTAGACACGCCGTTCGTCCGCGAAGTAAGGGCGTCAAAGTCGATCAAGCACCGAAACACGTGCATAAGGAGCCCCCCCCCCCCCCCGCCCAGATATATCGGAGAAGAAAAAAAAAAGCGGACCCAGACGCGCTTCTCATCAGCTATACACTTAGTAGCACGCTTCACCGTGTAGTTTGAGGACAGAATGACAAATCTGCGCCATCTGCGCCCGCACGACAAGTGTGGCGCTAGTGGAGCAAACGATGTAAGTTACAAAGTAATTTTTATTCAGTGTTTATGTTGACTAGCACTAAATAAAAATTACACTCAACTTTCTATATTTATTTATGAGTTTTAGTGTACCTCAGTTTTTTTTTTATAATTGTATTAGGAGAACACACTGAAATTATTGCGCTGACGCCTGTGCTGCTACTGCTCGACCCTTTTTTTTTTTTCGGCGCAACTAGGTTCGCGTTCGCAATACTTACTCATTTTCATATGGTCTGTGGTTGGCGAGCACATGGACGTGCGGGCTTGTGAGCTATGTTTTGATCGTGTGTGTGTGTCGCAGATTTGCGTTTCTACTTATTCGTGATGAAGGTTAGTGTATATTTATCTTTATGGAGCGCGAAGTAGTTGTGGATTTTGCTGCTGGGTGGAACAAACACATCGTAAACACGTCTTCAGCTATCTGCAAGCCTGTTCGCTCGTCGGACAAAGGACTGTGCATGCATCAGCGTGCAGGTGAGTGGCATTTCCAGCAACATTTAATGCTCTTACAATACATTGTTGAGTGGTTGCGCTAATGAAAGAGAAATGATTTGCTCTTATTCACCGTATCCATTGCTAGCCGTATCGGACTAAATTACTTCTATTACCGCCTGCATACCCTCTTGCTTCCCCTGTCACCACTGCAGTGCCAGTGTACTTTTGCAGTTAAAAGTTCATTTCCGCAACACTACCTCGCTTGAAAAAACATTGGGGCGGGGTTGTAGCTGCATTCATACTGGCACTTTTCTACCATTGGCTTTATGTAATGTTAACGGCTGAGTGTTGGGGCCTTGGGCCGCATTTTTTAGAGATGTAAAGTGTATGTAAATCAGTAAATGAACAAATCATTGTCGCATCACTTCACTGGCATAGCCAGGCGGTTGCGCACAGAATTTTTTTAGGCCGGGCGTAGGGAGCCCAAATTGACGACCATATTCGCTTGCCCAGCCTATTCAGATAAGCCGACCCCCCCCCCCCCCCTTCTCCGCACGCCTAAAAAAAAACAAAAATCTGTCCACATCACTGCATCATGAAATCTTTATGCGCTGTGAAAACTTGGCATGCCGTTGAAGTCACATATCGACGTTAATACCAATCGACGAAAATTTTGACAACCTCAATAACGCCGTTTGGGATTTGCCGCATGCACATAATTAGGCTGATTCCCACTTGGCTGTTCTTAACCTGACTTCACTGCTACCAAATGAAACAATATTTGATGCATGTCTTTTACTTTTTTTTCAGGGATATGACACAAATTTGGTTATACTGCAGATAAAGATGCTCCCAACGATGCTAAAGTACAGAAAGCAAGTGAATTTTGGTAAGTGCAGACTTTTTGTACTACGTATATGAAAGCATCGCTTTTTAGGGGCAAACTGTGCATGTGTTGGCCAGAGAATAGTTCATTGTGACACGTGGTTACACTGGCACTGACAATTCGACATGGCTCCGCTGGCCCGTGTGTGTGCTCACACTGTTACCGTTAAGATAAAATGTTTATGTTTTCATTGCAGGGATTGCTGTTTGTACTAAAAAGCCAACTGCCAAGATTTGTTTACGCTGGTACTCCTAAAAGTATGCTTTCCCTATTTACATGGATTTTGGCTTGCACAAAGCATAACACTTGGGCCTAGATTCACAAAGCTGTCCAGGCGCAGGCCTTCATAACAGCGTTTCTTGACTTGCCTTTACCCTGTTTTCTGCGGATGTTTCGTGGGTTTAAAAGTGCCACAGCATGTTGACCTCCCCCACTCTGAAATATTCGCGTTCAAAGTTCCGCAAGAGTGGGCTTAACTTTCTTGTGCACCTCTTTGCTAGTCCAAGATACTGAAGTGTTATGCTCTTACTAGAGGTGGCAGTGTTTCTAATGTTTGTATTTCCATCACATTGACCAAGTATGCGATCTTGGCTTGACTGGTAGCACATCCTCAACGAATGTCTTTGTGGCACATGTAAAAGGCAGTACAAAATAAATCGGCAGGCATTCACACCGGGAGCTAACTTCTAATAATGCTTTTTTTTTTGGAAACCATGGTGTGCTTATTCCAATTTGTTTAACAAGCAGTAACCTGTTTGGCTGTGAACCAACAAGACGTTGAAGTAATAAAAGCTTCACATCTTGTTGCTCTCAAATATATATGGTTTGGCAAGCTATCTGTGACACTGTCAAACAAAGAATCAGAATATCTGTGCATGCCTTAAGATATATTGCTTCGTTTACATATCTCGTGGCTGTGACTCGTCAACCGAGTGAACAAATGCACCCTAGTTTTCTAAATTTAAAGCATTTTTTGAAGGTAGCACGGTCTACATTTTTTGTCTATAGTTTTGTCCAGCCGTTTGCGTCAGGTACAAAGAAATATACTGAAGATTATCATGTAGCCTCTGCAAATGGTTGCTTTCAAGCAGGCTTTGCATGCTTGGCTTGTGCCTACAGGTATTGCACAATTCAAGACGCAGCAGCGTATGATAGAACAGTAGAATTGAGAGCAACTATGTGCACGAGCTAAATATGTATTTTATCATGAGCGGACGGTACGTGTCATTTGCCACACACATGACCTCATTTAGAATGCCCATTGGTGAATGGGCTCATAGAAATGTCACTCCGCTGTTAATAGGAAACAAGTTAACTGAACCTAAGGGTATCTTTAACTACTACAAATATGCCTTGTTGAGGTGCTGCACATTTTCTTCCAGAATATTGCTGTCTAAGACATCATGTGAAGAGCGTCTACCACATCAGCATTTATATGGCTTGCCAAGTAACGTTTGGCCGAACCTTCCTTTTTTTCACATTTCGTTTTGCAGTAGACATCCTAGAATATAAGCGCTGCTGCAGTGTGTGTGACTCATTGTTATGAATTGATTCTGGCATGTTTAACCTCACACTTCTATTTTTTTTTCTTGCAGCAATGAGATGCTTCACATATGCCTGCGGTGACGTTGTGCTGCGCTAGTCTGATGGAAACACCAGCTGCGAAACATTGAGTCCTTCAGCATTGGAGAAGTTGCCCTTCTCTCACCAATGATGACACAGACTGCCCTATGCTAGAAATTCAAGATTGTTTTTCCACGGATGACGCAGAAAACCTTTGATGTATTATGGTGTTTGTTTAGTGCTGGCTGTGGTGTGGCGAAGTCTACTTTTACGTGTGGTCACACGTCGCCTCATAAAAAGAACAATAAAGCATTTATTTTCCTTTCAATATTGTCCACTTTTTGTGTTAGAAGCACCCAAGCAGTGCTCTTCCAAGGAGCTCTCGCCATGTGTTAAGCGTGTGACAAGCATACTCGAGATAAATACTCATTTCCCCAAGGAGTAACTGGAAGCATGTGCAGTTGGTTTTCAGAGAGTAACTGCGAACACGTGGGAGGAACGCTAAAGAGTAACTGTTGCTCTTAGAAGAGCAACTGGTGGGAGTAATGGTTGGTCGGCAGGGAGCAACTGGTGGGAGTAACTGTTGGTCTGCAGGGAGGAACTGGAGGGAGTAACTGTTCATCCCCCGAAGGAGGAACTGAAAGGAGAGCAACGGTTCCTCCCTCTGCAGTTATTCCTTTTAGGAGAGTAATGGGAGTGGCAATGCAATTGCTCCCTGAAAGGAGCAACCCCTATACCCCTGTTGCTCCGTTTTGGCTTAGAGTGTATGCGTTCATACTTTAGACATTGTCAACAATAAGAAACTGGGTATTTCAAAATTGAGCATGAGTAATTTGAGAAGATTAAAAGTAATCTCAGAGTAACGACCAGGTAATGCGATTAGTATGTCATAAAATGAATTCACCTCCAACGCGCCTCTTACTTTTAAGGTCAAGGCGCAAATTACGAGGGATGACCTCTGGAGGTTAGACAAACCAACAGCATCTTGCTCACCAGTTGGCAGGATGACCCTCGTGGTTGCCTACGGCCGGGTAGACTGGCACGCCGGGCAGGAACTTGGCGATGGTGTCGGCTGTGTACTTTGCCAGGGCGATGTTTCCCTCCCGGGACGTGTTCCAGACGTCGTGGGGCACCATGTCTCCTGTCCATATCACGTAATCCACCTGCGACGATCGCATCCAACTGAGATGGACTTGCGTGCATGCGTGTGCTCGTTGCAGAGGAATAAACCATCGAGTAACAAGGGACAAAGAAAAGCATGCTAAAAGGAGGAATCTAGATCATGAATCCTGTCGTGCCTTAAAACGCCTTCTTCTTGTAGCTTGTTTTTTCACAGTCCGTTATTTCTTCCTAGTTTTCTTTTGCCATATACTATCATGTAAAAATCTTGAACTGTAGTAACTTTTTATGCCCGTTGAATTCAGGATAGCGTAGAGGCCTTTGCAGACAATGGCAAAGCACAGGTTTATCACTATTTTATAGATTGCTCCTGCCATCCCTTCATGCATTATCATTACGATGAGCATAACAACGCAGATCAGTCCCAACAGCATGCGTGTTTAAATTCACGATAGTAGTTGACAAGGCAGGAAAACTTTATCATGGAGCATCAAATCCGTAGCTATCTAACGCTTAGATCAGCAAACTTTGTCCGCCGCTGTTCATTAGTATCCTAAGATCAGATATGTCCACAGTGCGGGCTCACTGTGAAACCAGTACAGTCGCTCTACCAACGAGTTACGAAAAGGCGACATCTATTAGGCTGCTTCGATGCCATATTATTCTCAACTTGATGCTCATGCAGCGGGAAATCATGTTTAAAAATTCAGAAGCTACAAAAACTGCAAAACCTTAACCGACCTTCATAACCGGCGTTACGCTTTGTGTGTGTGTGTGTGTGTGTGTGTGGTGTGTGTGTGTGTGTGTGTGTGTGTGTGTGTGTGTGTGTGTGTGTGTGTGTGTGTGTGTGGTGTGTGTGTGTGTGTGTGTGTGTGTGGTGTGTGTGTGTGTGTGTGTGTGTGTGTGTGTGTGTGTGTGTGTGTGTGTGTGTGTGTGTGTGTGTGTGTGTGTGTGTGTGTGTGTGTGTGTGTGTGTGGTGTGTGTGTGTGTGTGTGTGTGTGTGTGTGTGTGTGTGTGTGTGTGTGTGTGTGTGTGTGTGTGTGTGTGTGTGTGTGTGTGTAACTACGGAAGAAAGACAATGACCGAAAAGAGCGCTGACCTCAACTAAAATTTTATCAGCGCAATTGCTGGAAATATGTACTCATGGCAGAAGCGAGCTCATCACAGCACAATCGCGCAACCTATTGCGTCACAGCCAGATAATCATCATCTTATTATAGGGGTACAACACCACACCACAGCGCAACCTCACAATCTATTGTGTCAAAGCCAGATACTCGATTTCATTCTTAGTGAGAGCAACCGAATGTATGCTGATACATAAATCACCCAGCATTTGCATTTCAATCGCTTTAATAATACCCGTGTTAGCTGATGCATTGTGAAGTTCATGATAAGTTCAGGATATTGGGACAGAGCTGCTCTATCGCTGGTGAGCGTCTTGAGTGCAGTGTCCAACGGGCAGCGGATGATGCGGATTACATTTACTGCCGAGTGCTTTTATCGGGGCCTGCGGAGACGATGTGCTGTGCAAGAACACCGTAGCAACAAACGCTTGCGCGGTGACCCATGTTTTCCAGATAATAAACAAGGATAAATATTAGGAATACAGTGCTCGCTGGACTTTTATTCATCAGTATTCCTACAGCCTGATTTCCTTGATTGATTGATTTGTTGGGTTTAACGTCCCAAAACCACCATATGATTATGAGAGACGCCGTAGTGGAGGGCTCCGGAAAATTTGACCACCTGGGGTTCTTTAACGTGCACCCAAATCTGAGTACACGGGCCTACAACATTTCCGCCTCCATAGGAAACGCAGCCGCCACAGCCGGGATTCGAACCCGCGACCTGCGGGTCAGCAGCCGAGTACCTAGACCACCGTGGCGGGGCTACAGCCCGGTTTCCTTCATGAGCACGCAGTGCCTACTATATTCGTGTTATCGGGGACCAGATCGCCAAAGTATCTATGACGCTACAAGTTGCATGTCTGCATTCGAACACGTAGTGGTAATTTATTGAAGCATAATGCAAAGAAAAACATAACGCAAGTAATGTCCGCGGACTTTTTTGGTTATTAGCATTGAGTGCAGTGTAATAAATTTGAGTTATTGTGACCATTCAATAAAACTGAAATGTCATTTTGATTCATTGATTTATAAATATTATGAACAAAAAGCCTAAGCAAGGTGAACAAAATACATAACAATAATAAAAAAAAAGTTGCAAAGTGTTTTTTACAAAATGTTCTTGGTTGTAAGACGGGGGGATAAAAAAAGGCTATTTAACAACTTGGTCATGATAAAATTCTAAGGAAGTAATAAAAAGAACAACAGTATCTGTACAAATAGTCACGGGCGTTCGGGGAATTCTTCTGTTAGTTTATTTAAATCAGCTATAGTTTGTGGGGAATAGGAGTAGCGAGAAGGGTCAGTCTTTGCGAAGATTGGCGTTAGGAAATGAAGATAGTGGTGCCGAGGTGGGTCTGCTCAACAAACGGAAAACCTACGCTGCGGTGTCCAAGGATAGCCTGTGGTTTACTATGTCGGAATAAAAAAAATCTGGACGACGTTTTTTTTTTCTGAGTTTGTAATAATTTAATACCATTTGCACTTTGTGCAGTGTGGAAGCTGGTTGACTGAAATTTACTGTAAACAAATCGTACGACTTTTTTTTCAATTTTTTCTAGGTTTTGAATGTTAATTTTTGAGTGGGGACCCCAAACTCTGGATGCGTACTCAAGTTTTGGCCTAATTAAAGAAAAGTATGACAGGAGTTTGACTCTAAGTGGGGCAGTCTTGAGCTTGGGGCGGAGAAGGCATAATTTCCGGAAAACGGCAGGAAAAAATGTTACTTATATTCCAGGATAAGGTACTCGTTAATGTTAGACCAAAGTATTTATAGAAGGCTACTTTAAGCAAAAATGCTTCAAGTAAATTGTATGTGTCGTCTAAGGGGAATTTTTTGTGCGTTAGAGGGAGATACACACACTTATTTGCATTAAAAAGCATTCCCCAATGTTCGCATCATTTTGAGACGTTGCCCAAGTTAATATTAGGGTCGCATTGGTCACTAACGCAGGTATACCTTCTCTAAAGAAAACACGATCGTCCGTAAATTGGCGGATTTGTACAGGGGTGCTAATAACATTGACAATGGCATTTATGTCGACCAAAAACAGGAGGGGGCTGAGTACACTCCCCTGCGGAACGCCAGAAGTCACCGGAAGGCAGCCGGACAATTTTCCTCCCACCTGAACATATTGGTTGCAGTTGTGGAGATAGGCTGGGATCCAGGAAGCTTTACAATTAGTTTATCGTGTGTAACTGTGTCGAATGCTTTACTATAATCTAAGAATATTATATCAGTTCAGCCATTAGTATCAAGAGAAACTGCAAAAGTGTGATTGATACTAACTAATTCGGGGTAAGTAGAAAAATTGTTCTCGAAACCCATGTTGATGATTTGTTAAAACGGAGTATCCTTCCAAGAATTCATTTAGTTTGTGGGCTATTTATTATGCGCTTAATAAGCTTACAACCTGATGATGTTAAATATATTAGTAATTTTGTACTACAAGAAGGTCACCTTTTTTTTAATATAGGAACAATCCATGCCGACTATCAGTCGTCTGGCGATGCCACTCAAACAAATAGACACGAAGAATGACGACTATGTATTTCGCAATGGACTCTGTAAAGCGACGCAAAAATATGTTAGGGATATTGTCGCGTCCGCCAGAACTTTTAGTCTTCGAGTTCAATAACAAAGCAACGACACCAGAATAAGGAATGTCACAATTTTGGCTTTACTAGGTGCCATTTTTTTCTGTTAAAACTGAAGAACACAAGTGTTGTGCATGCTAAACAACCTTCGTATGTGTGAAGCAAATAAGCAATGCTGCAGGTATGACAGGTATACGCTGTTGGTTACTTTAGTTCATCTACGGCGGATGAGATGAACTCCAAATAAAGTTCGAATAATAAGTTTCCTTGTAAAACCGAAGCAAAGTGAATGGTAGTATACTTAAACATAAGTATCTAGTCATGCGTCCGTATTAAGTCAGCTGGCGTCGGCTTGAAGCGCCTTCGTGGAGGACTCACCGGTGATTGCCTTAACTCGAGTCCTTAGCGATCACGGGCCTATGAAAAGTAATTTGGGATCAAAGTTTGTACTAGCGCAGACGAAATGAAGTCACTTGTTTGCCAGCTATTGCATCACGTCCGCTTTATTTTTTGTTCCGCCAGAAGTGTTCCCTTCTCACAGAGATGGTGCTAAGCCTCATGAGCAGCTGATCAGACGCCATTTTTTGAACGTGGGGGCTTCTACAGAGCCTTCCCTACCAGTTGCATCTACCTTTCTTCTGCTGTAAAACTAACAATGCCCCTATTCACATGAACATTGCTACATCCGGAACATTTAGAGCGTCTCATTTTCCCCTGCAGGTAAATGTTTAGCTGATAAAAATCTGCTTACGAAACCATATTTTATCACAATTTTCAACACCAGACATTGCAGTTCGAAAAACATTATATTATCTGCTCATATCTCATATCATTATAGTATCTGCTCAAATTATATTATCTGCTCATTAGTACTTTTTGTGTTTTAATCACCAAAAATGTTTCCGCATGCAAAATAAAAAAAACACCGAAATAAAGAGATAAACAAATCGATGCTTCAAAGACCTCTTAATGCATGCCAATATTATAATTCAGCCATATTAATCACTGCATTACTTACTATGCATTCCAGTAATGTGTGCCTATAGAACTTCACGGACATATAGTCCCACCCAGTCGCCTGCATTGGTTGTGAGCCATCGTCAGAGCAGGACAACAGAACCCAGTGCTCACCTTGTGGTAATCCCGCACTTCTTGGAGCATGTTCTCGAACGTCCTGGCAGGCAAGTCGCACTTGTGCAGAGAGCCCCAGTGGCCAGCGGGTACGTTGATCAGCCAGTGGGCCTTGCCGTTGTCCTCGCGGCAGCACAGGGGTTCGGGGCAGTCGGCTCGGCTGCCCTCCGCGTATCGCATGTCCACGTGCGTGTCAGTAACGTGCAGAAAGCGCAGCTTCAGAGCATCCCGCTGTTCGAGAAGAGCAAAACACTCAACCTAAAAATTTCTAGTTCAAGCTCTTAGTGAACACTCCCGTATTTTGATTACTAGTACTAGTGCATTGCTACAAAGAAGGTAGGCTTCGTGACGACACGCTCCTTCGGTTCAGCAGCCTTCGTAAACTGCATGAGCAGATGTTCTCCGTTAACGGATCAGTCTTTCTTCGGTGTTCCAACTTGACGTCAAAAACCACTTAAATAAACGTCTGAAAACTCCTTAACTTATAACGTAACGTTCATCTTCAGATCACGATGCTCCTTTGTAGGACTTATTGGTACCAAAGCTCACATGCGGTTCTGCTTGTATGTTACGCACGCGTTCTGTGCACACACCACAAAAACTGGACGCAGGATGACGGCTATAAGACGTAGCTGCTGTGATGCCTGTCCGTGAGTCCCGTATCCCATGCACCATTTTCTCGCTGTTCACAGCAGAATCTGCCACATCGGTTATAAAGACAGCTTTTTGGAGATGACCCCGGAAGCGATTCTTACCTGCTATACTTTGTAAATGGCTGTCGACTGCTGTGTGCACGTTTGACTTAGAAATTCGCGAGCACCAGAATACTGCACCTGGGGTGTCGGAGGCACGGGATTAGGCTTCCTCGTCTTGGGTAGTGTGATGGTCCAGTTGGGCGCCCCTTTGTCCCCACAGTCTTGGCCAAGTACTGAGCTGCATACTTCGTGAGCGCTCAGTGTAGTCCTCTTCATGACGTGGAAGAACTCGTCCTGCGTTAGCAAATTTCATTGTGTATCGCGTAAGATTCGTTTACTATAGAAATTGGCAGTGCAGGCTGAACAAACAACTAAATATTAGGTGTAAAAAACCACAGCATATCCACGCAGTGAGTGATGACGAGTCGGGCGAAGCGTCAGTTAGCCCGTCTGTGCTCCCGTCTATCCGCTCATTTTTGCTTCCATCCGTCCACGCGACCTCCATGCGTCTGTCTATGCGTCCATCCGTCTGCCCGTGCGTTCGTGCGTCCGTCCATCTATCTGTGCGTCCGCCTATCTGTCCGTCTACCTTCTAGTCTGTCTGTCCACCCATTCGTGTGTCCATTTAAGGAACACTCCAAGTACCGCCATCTCGCATCTCGCATTCCCTGTGGCACATATTCGCTCCGCGCGTCCATCCACCCATCCGTCCATCTGCTAGTCTGTCGGTCCGTCCGCCCTTGCGTCTGTCCATGCGTCCATCTAGTGAACACTCCAAGTACCACCGTCTTCCACCTAACATCCCCTGTGGCATATACCGGCTCTAGAGCGGGTATGTGCCACCGGTGGCTACATACACCAACGGAGGACAGACAGACCCATACCCTAAGGAGTTTCGCCCCTAAAAGGTTAGTGTTAATATTTGCAGTGACCTACCCATCAAACAATGGCGGTATGCACAAGAAAAAATTAGGTACAGAGGGGTTCTCAGTTAAAGGCAACTGGCCGGCTGCGGCAACTTTAGTTTTGCGCAGGAGCAGTGAGCGCTCGTTTGTCGTCCGCTACAGTTGCGCTCGTGCTTCAACTCAACGCAAAGCGTGGCCGAAGTCGCAAAATTTTGAAAATGGTTCCTTTCTCCCAAGATAGAAAGAAAATGATGGGAATGATCTATAATCGGATAAATGTCACCTGACACATCAGAAGGATTGCCGTATTTCATTCGCGTTAGACAAAGAATTGCCAGCTTCGAGAAAGCTTTTTGGTGGCGCCAGTTAGAGGCGCTTGTAAGTTTATTGTGTAGCTTACGCACTGATGCAGATTCGAGTTGCTGCAGTGCGCATCGAGTTGAGCACTGCAGCAACTCGAACCTGCATCAGTGCACATTAAATACGCGCTCCACAAGTAAACGTATCTTTTAATATAGCTATGCTGAAAAACGACATCCGTAAAGTAATCATGCTGCTTACCCCGCCAAAAATATCAGAGAGGTAGTATTTCACATAATCTAATCTCCTTTCACCTTTGCAACAGCTTGCCATCTTAGCGGTCAATGTAGCCTGAAGACCATTTTAATGCGCGGGATGGCTTGCTTCCTTCGCGGTTATCTGGAGTGTGGCCGCAACTGTAGCAGAAGACAAAATAGCGCTGCTCACAGCGCTCACTGCTCCTGCGCGAAGCGAGTGGCCACAGCCAGCTGGCGGTGGCGCCGAGCAGACGACATGCGCACCAGTGTTTCCTTTAACAGTGGACCCCTCTGTGCATCAAAAGCATTGTGATAGAAGATACGATAAACATGAATGGTGTATCAAATCACCGCCATTCAACAAAGCTACAAAGCCTAAGCACGTCAAAGAAGGCTTAGGTTGTCATAAAATTATTGCAGTGCCTTCACTTGCGCTAATTAATACCAGTATACATACAGATCCAGAAACAAATGCAAATGGCTTTTTGGGGTGCTAAGGCATGCATAAGCGTAACCCTTCGAGACGAAGTTGGTGGAGGGTATAATCAAGGTAGCCGATGCGAGGCGTTGTCCCACGTCAACGAATGCAAATGGCTACGAGTGCACTCTTGTTTCTCTTTCAGCTTTCAGAGAAACATGTGTGTAACAAACTCACCAGGGAAGTGTTCAGTTCTGTTCATTGCGGATGAATTAGGTTTACCAAATCAACACGAAGCAGAGCATATATTGCTTAAGACAGCATATATATCGGCAGTTCACGTCCTTCAATGATTACAAATCGGTGAATATTTTGTAGGCTTCGTGCTTCTTGCTGTGTCACTTAGGCATTGTTCTTCATAGTAAATGTAACAAGCCAAACACTTCTCGAGTGAAACAATGCGCACGAACTCAAAGATTGTACCTCACCCTAGGCCGGACACCAAGAACCAATGTCAGAACACTTTTTTAAAAGGTTTCCGCGGGCTTATGCAGTGATAAAATACGAGAGGGGAGCGTACCTTGAAGTTGCTGATGAGTCCGTCGCAGACGCGTTCTGAGCCGGCGAGACCAAACAGCTTACATTCATGGTCCAGGTTGTCGGCGATCACGTCCTTGGACAGACCACGACGTATATCTTTGAGCACACTGCCGGCAGCCCAGCTACAGATGCCACAGCTTGGCATGTGGTGGTGGTCCGTAGAGAGACGGGAAGCCCCCTGCGAACACCACAAAATACACAAATGAGCTTGTTGCAGTCAAACGCGTGCGTGTTGTACTTGGTTGTGAGCCGTCGGTGGCCCCTTCAGTCACGAATTGTGATTTGCTGTCAGAAACGTATCAATTTCGCGTGGCATAATGCCAAGGAACTCAGTATTGAATTCTACGTAAGAAAATGAAGGCAAGCGTTATTTCGTGTGAGTTTTTTTTTTTATTGTAAATGTTGTGTACGAAAATAATTAGCAATTTATTCTGCCACGAGTTAGTTTCACCACTTGGATAAAGAGAGTCCAGTATAGGCCCGAAATGCATGCGCATTTTTTGTGTATTTGTTTCGAGCTAATAGAAAATACTTTTCACGTTGGTCCTGGAACGCGTCACGTCGAACAATCGTTGAAACATGGTAGCGCATCTATAAAAGTGATTTTCTGCAGCAATACGCACCACAAAATAGTTAAATGATCGCCAGTTGTCGAGTCAAGAGGCCTGCAAGAATGTGCACACCAAAATTCAAGCCATTTGATGCAACCCATGGTGCATGACGTGCCGTTGAATTCGGCGTGTACATTTGTACATTCCATGACTGAAAGGAGTAGAGGAGGTCTTTGTCTACAGGTTATCAGCTAGTAAGTGTTTAGCAGAGTTGTTTTTGTGGACCTTGTGGTGCTCTCATCGGCATTCCCTGAAATGGGAGGCATAAAGGATGAGCCTCATGAAAGGTTGGAAGAGAAGGAGGCCGCATGATTTACCAAGGAGACAAGGTGTAACGGAAGGTGTTACAAGATTGCCTGCCGAGGTGGAATGCTTCGAGTGCGACCATGCATGGTGCATACGAAGTAGAGCGTAGCCGTGAAAGTGAAACACGTTTTGCGCGTGTAAGCTGGTGCAATTGACCACGGCCGCACTGTAACGATGCTTAGCGTTCCAACATGCTGCGGCAGCAATGCATGGAACTTACATTTTCACATGTTTAAGGAGTATGGCGCAGGCGAAATACAAGACATGCGTTCACATTGCAGCTCCCTTCATTCACCTGCTATCCTGTTCGAGCTCAACACAATGTTGACAGCGCTGGTCGATAGTGCCAATTCCGTTTACGGCGCCATATTACTATTTTGTAGTCCAGACACCGTGGCATAGAGCTTGTAGTCGATTTCCCAAAGTTTCCATTCTATGTATACCTAAATATCTTGCGTCGTATCCAGGGACTTCGGTGCTGACAGCAAATACGTATTCCTGCTACTGCTGTAGCCATGGCAAGACAGCACGGGTGCGTAGCTGTTCAGTGAAGACCTCTGGCTAGGCCAAAGAAACTAGACCTACTTCGTACGGGCTTCTGGCACCATATGAGAGCCCCGCGCGATGGTCTAGTGGATAAGGTGTTCGGCTGCTTACCCGCAGGTCATGGGGTCGAATGCCGGCTGGGACGACTGCATTTTAAATAGAGGCGAAAATGCTGTAGCGTCGGGTGCACTAATTTGAGTGCATGTTAAAGAACCCCAGGTAGTCAAAATTTCCAGAGCCCTCCACTATGGTGTCTCTCATAATCATATAATGGCTTTGGGACGTTAAACCTCACATATCAATCCATCTGGCACCATGTGAGACGCTGAGCAAGCCAGCGTGCAAACAGAACGTGTTGGTGGCTAACAAGATAAGAACATCTATTCAACAATCATCTGGCAAAGAAAGGAGAGTGGTGCTAGTAGCGCTAGTGAGGTTGGTGACACACAAAGCGGCGCCACAGGCTATAAGTAAGAATCTACGTATTAATATGCCTGAAATAGTTGAACGTCGACCAGACGAAATACACTACCTAAACATTTGCATCCTTGAGAGATATACGCAAGAGTCGTTCAAGGGAGGCCGCAACTGTGAGACGTGAGGGCCAAAGTTTTGCAGTGGGGTTATTTATTGCGCTGTGGGAAACGTCAGATGTACAAAAGTGCAATTAATGTCGGAAAAAAGGCATGATCATTTCCCCAGCATTCATTGTGCCTCTAACATAAGGTCTATCTGTCACAAACGAGCGCTCACGAAAGCGCGTGCCTTTTCGGCTGCTGACTTGGCTGGAGGATGTCGCGGCTAGGCTCTGCCTGGACGACACTGCGAGCAGCCTGACGGCCGCCCACAACGCTGATTTTCAATTTTTAAACTGTTATTTTACACCTTGGCCTTCACACAAATGAAGTTTTTCACCACCACCACCAGATCCCAACGGCTACGTGAAATTGAGACGCCGGGCAGACGCGACTAAAGCCGGTGCAAAAAATAAACAAGCATCAAAAGACGCCATGCCCGCGCCTCATCTCCCCCTCGAAAGCGCCGCCGCTACACCAACCAACCTCCTCGAAGCTATCGCCGAGTGGTCTCTAGAAATATCGAAAAGGTAGGGGCGAGAAGGAAGGGGTGAGGTCTTTGCGACCCGTTGCGCAACCACTACCTGGTTGCGCCATGGGTCGCGAAGATTTTGAGAAAGGTTCCACCTCTTCTCCAGCTTTGGCTCTGTGGCGCACCGACGAAACTTCGAGAACACAGGGCGAGCCTACATAACCAGACTGTGGGAGAAGGCGAAGCAGCAGATCAAATGGGAGTTTTCCGCCAGCGTGCGAAACTTGTCCTACGAAGACAAAGCAGGTGATGCAGTGAGTGTGTGTTTTCCACCAGTGGACGAAATCGTGACCTGCAGTGGCAGCGCGTGAGTGGCGGACATGTTTCCAGCGAAGAAGTTTATACATTCAAGTGCGGTCAGATAACGACGTGAGAGCTTTCTAGAAGAGAAACCGTGGACTCAGTGGAACGACAACCGGCGCTGAACTTCGAGCGAGTGTTTCTTTGAACAGAAGCACTCAAGCTTTCTTCCAAGAATTCAAACTGAATACAGTTGAAAATTTTAGTCTATAGATGCCTTGGTCAGCTAATGCACGAGATTGCATCGTAGCAGGTGTTGTTTGCGCCAATTCTTCTGCGTGTACTTGAGTATGTTCATATTGGTGTCATATTGTATTGGATAACTGCCGAGTGTGCTCGTTCAAGTTTTGTTTGGTATGCCTCATGTGAAAATGCCTTATTGGTTTCGTTATCAACTTTTGTTTCTGCCTCGTTTTTTTGGACCACAGTCGTGATTTACTGACGCACCAAAAGGACACAAGGACCAACACTAAATTTCCAAGCTTTTGTGGTGCAGTTCAGGGGTCCGATATGTCAGCCGTTACAATTAGCCCGGCGATTACCACCCTAATTACGGGAGTAGTAACTTTCTCAAAAAACAGTCAGGACGTAATAAAGCGACACATTTTGAAGGCACTGTTCTGTGCGCACTACGTTTCCTATGCACATCTCAGAAGCAAAATGTTTCACGGGAAGCAAAAACAATTCTTTAGTGTACTCGCTGTCCTATAAAAGCTCATTTGTGTTCCTGAATTTGATCTGCGTAAAACTTCGCCGAAATTTGTTGCCACCTTCAAATGTTTAGGTGGCAATATTGGAAGTAAACAGACCCACTAGTGCGGTGGTGGTGTGATGGTGAAACTTTCTCACCCGAAAAGGGGTCCTGAAGGACACTCGGCTAAACGCAAGGTGTAGAGAGCATCTCCCACGTCGGTACAGAGAGTTCGAAGCTCTCCGCCGCCTCGAGGGCCTCCTGGACAGCCCGAAGTTGGTCTGCTAGAGAAGAACTTTTGAACACTTTGGCCCACTGTTTCTTGTTCATGGCACGTCAGTCGATGCACAACCACAGAGCATATAGTTGAAATCTAGACGTTCACGACACTGTTCACACATATGTTGTCCATCGTAGTCTGGGTCGATATACTTCATTCGCCAGGGGCTGAGGAATGAGTTAGTCTTGAGTTAGCGTAACGTGACCGACTGGCTGCGCACTAATTTCTTCTCTGGGAGCGAAAACTCTCGCTGGCTTAGAAAAAGTGCTTCATGATTTCATTTGAAGTGAAAAGCTAATCCCTGCACTCCATGTGTAGTGTAGCAAGGGAAGCCCGAGTGACATGGGCAATGAGTCATCGCGCCACCTCGTGCGTGGTTTCGTTAAGAATCCGCAGTATAGACTCCTAAGCTGTTCATGTGTGCCGGGAACCATACCATTGAGTGATCGGTGATGTTATTTCCGCCTAAAATTCGCAGTGTCTTCTTGTCTATCCCGCCCTTTTCAAAACCTCAAGTGGCTGCTCTATAGTCACTGTATATTGTTGGGGAGCTCGGGTCTGCGGGAGCTAGAGCTATCGCTGCTTCTTAGGCTACGTCCGGCCTCTTGGTGTAACGCGTGAGTTGCGCGTTCGTCCACTTCCATCATTTACTACGACCGGGTCGGCGTGCTTTCCTGGTATGTGCGCTGCGTCCACGACAGCTGTCTGGTTGAGAAATCCTGCGGCATCTGCCGCGAGGGCTCTGGCGCTGGGGAGTCTTTTTCCATGATTATGGACTGGGTGTAGGTTAATGGTTTTAGCATGACTTTAGGTAACTTCTGAACGCTGTTCATTTCCGCTATAATGTTCAGAGCAAGCTTGACAAGAATGTACTCGCCCGCTTTGGTTCTGCATAGACGTGCGAGCTTTGTCGTGAGCTGCGTCTCAATTATTTAGGCAAAGACATTATGCGCTCAGTCGCACTGACAGTTGCGCGAGTTGGTGTGGGTTAATAGTTATGAACTGTGCAAAAAACTTGGGACGCAAAATCACGAGAACAAGAACGGGCGCCCGTTTTTGTGTTCTCGTCATGTTGTGTCCCGTCTTTTTTGCGCCATTCATAATTATGCACTGCTTACTCTAAGAAGAGAGGAGTGGAAGCATAATAGGAGGGCCCAAATGTTGTCTCAAAAGCGCGTCGTTCATGTACTCCGAGCTTTTGCCGTTCTACTTTTTTCTAGTTAAGCATCGCAGCCACGTATTTGATGTGACTGAGAACAAAAATGTGGACAATTCTGATGGCGTTGTCCTCGCCCAGTATTCTGTGCCTATTCATGATGCACCGAAACATTCTCAGC